TTTAATGAAAATCACAACGGCATTTCAAAAATATAATATCCTGAACTAAAGTTTTATCTTTGAATTGCTCATATTATAAAATTCCCCGTGTCTAAAATATTTAAATATAATAAAACATAAAGTCTTTAGTTTTGTTTTTGTTTTTATTCCTGCAGTTTGTTGTTGCTTTGCGGTTGTTATTCACAAATAATTTAGGAAAAGTCGAGTAAAATGCAGTTATACATTATGTATGCCTTAACAAATAAGAATGCGAAATAAATATGCTGTTTAACAATGATTGCTGCTGTTGGTCTCAATTTGCCTATACTGTACATCATGGTCTATGAATTGCAAACTAAGTAGATTCCATTGCCAAACGAAAATAATAAAGATCACAAAATAAAATTTATGATTAGAGCAGATGACGCCAGGGCCGGCAGCAAAGTATTCCGAATGGATCGATCTTTAAGATGGAAGAAATGTGTCGGAGGTCTGTGAGGAAATAAACGGAGAAATGTTAGAGAAACGATCCTATTGAGGCGCATCCCAGGAGATCGTGATAAATGGTACTTACCACATGGCAGGGGTTTACCCATCGATCAGCAAAGTGCTCATCATGATCGCCGAGCCTCCGAATTCGGCAGCTGGTGGCTTTGACGTCATCTGGAAGTGGTTATAAGAAAGATATTTTTAAAATTAAATTTATAAAAATTATTTTTTCCTTTGACGTAAAGTCTATGCACTTAATAATATATGACTGTATTATTTCTCTGTTTTGTTTGTTCAAGTGGCCGCATTGGCATAAACAATGGGCAGCATTGCTTTGTTTGCCTCAAAGAACATAAGCTTCTTTGAGATTTATTTTTGGTTCTTCAAAATAACTCACTGAGGCATTTCGAAAGCAGATTTGTCTTTCACAAAAATAACACTCTATACTCGAAAACTTCTTCAAGTTTATGCATCAAACTGCAAAAAAATATTCGAAAGTATTTAATGAAAATTAATTATAATTTCCACCTTGGCCAATCATAAATTTTGGCCATAAAAAACTGTCTCTTTGAACATTTTTATGCTTGACATATTCGAGCGAAAATTTGAAGAGTTGAATCACAAAGTTGCGACATTTGGAAAGGCTGTGTGAAAATGATTTTTAATGCTGCCCAATGAAGGGGGACTGTGACGACAGGAAGGTGCTTTGTGGGCCATGTCGAAATCTTGTCGTTAAAAAATAGAAACGGAAAATCTATTTATTATCGGGCTGGCCAAATGGCTGCCAAAAAATTTAGACAAGGTTTCCTTTTTTTTTTGGGGGAATATTTCGATAATTTGTTTGATGTGTGTGACTGATAATTGAATTAATTGGCAGGGGTATGGCTCACCTGGCTTAGGTTACTAGTAGAAATCCATTAAATGCTAAACATCTTAAACGCGTAGGGTCCTAGAAGCTCCACCGGACCACAAGATGATGGCATGGCCGGCGGCTTGGAATTGAAATTCAACATGTAAGCTATCCTTGATGGGTGATAATATAATAATGGTGTTGGTGGTCTGGTGACTGGGGATGGGATCCTAGAAGGCGGCTTCGTAGAAGGCATAGAGCAGGAACAGCAGGAAGGCCAGGATGAGGAAGGTGGTGAACAAACTCTTGGCCTCATTCATTTTGATTGGTTTGTTTTTTTGGCTTCTGGCTGCTGCTATATTGATAACAAGGTATAATAGTAATTAGGTAAGCGATTGATCAATTGATCACAAATAGACACAAATCACACACTTTTGAATAGATCTCAAGTTTGAGATGGAGAGATTTCCAACCGTTCGTAGCTAAAGGCGCGCTATAACTGAATTTCCCGATCTGAATTCCAATTCTCCACAAAAAGTTGGCCAGCGCTTGGAATTATGGCCATTGCCTAGGCGCACGCACCAATATATCCGATTATATAGACCATATATAAAATATTCTTTTATATTTGTACTATATACATATCACCGGCTATTCGCCTGTATGGGTGTCCAGTTGTTGCTCATATTTTTGAGGCGGCACAAATATTTTCTAGATTTATATATATATTCATATATATATTCATAGCTCGGTCTGTATATTTGCGGTATATATATTTGAATTCCATGCGATTCTAGGCAATTTTTCCTCGGCTCTTTGAACATTTCTCATTTGCTGGACTGCACCTAGACAAATTGTTTTTTTCCGACTGGACCTTGTCATTTGAAAAATGTTTTATTTATTTATTTCTTGGTTTTTGATGGTGGGAACTTGTTTTCTTCTCCAGTTGTTTGTTTGATTAACATATTTATTTACTTTCAACCGGAAAATATGCCGGTTTTGCCTAATTTGTTGGTCAAATCGTTTCTAAATATTGGGGGGAATATTGAAAAATCGGGTACATCACGTAGCCCCCATTGAGTTTATGGCACATTTTGGACTTAATGAGCATTTCAAGGTTTGTGATTGATGTGGATTTATCTCGAATAAATTCAATGGGATAATTGCAATTTTAAAAATGTTCTAATCGAAGCCACAAAATTGAATTGATTTGAATATAAACTTGGGAGAGATTGTAAGGTCTTTGTAATAAATATATAAAATTTATGCATTTTTAAAGGAAAGATGTATTTTAATTACATTTTAATTTGTTCTGCATAATTTAGCTACGAAGGTTAGATCATATATTTTTTTCCACTTAGTTCTCATATGGTATTACCTTTTGTCCTGCTCCAAGGACCTTCATCTCGCCGCTATCCATTTACAAGACGGCATAGATGAGGTAAAGGAAGAAAAGAAGGATGGCCAGGATGCCGAAGGTGGTGAAAAGGTTCTGGGCTTCACTCATGTTGATTGGATTTGCTGCAGAAAAATTTATAGAAAATATTCAGTATTAGTTTGGAATACAGCCAGGCTAAAATTATATTAATTTATTTTAGCATAACATATTCTAACACATTTTTTACTTGGCGCGTGAGAAGTTTAATTTGACAGAATCATAAAAAAGGCGGCCATAAATTTCCACGAAACACATATGATTTTGTTTTAAAATAAGCTAATCAAATAAAATCCCAACGAATAAGTATAGATCTCTATATAAAGACGACAGATATGAAAGCCATATGGAAAATATTAAATATTTTTCGGTTTTGTCTACGCCTGGTTATATCTATTTGATGGTTCTGGTTTGCTTTGTATTTCTGATAGAGCAATCAAAGAACCATATGTCTATATAGATTGGAATAATTCCAGTTTTATAGATTGGACCGGTTCCAACAAGAGAAAAGAGCGGCAATATTTACGAACACGGCACACTTGAATTCGATTTTAAAATTCCGAAATTTTTAAATCATTTGACTGGGGTCTGTAGGTCACTTCACTGGTCGCCTGGTTACCTTTAGAATTTTTCTTGTCCGCTGGGGGAAGACACAATTTTGTGCTATTAACTGCTGAAAGCCTTTGGCTCAACTAAAATCATTGGCCCGTCCACAAATTGGGATATAGATGAAATACTTAGCAATCTGCAGGCATCCATACAGTGGATATAGATTCGTGTGCCTGTATGAGTGCTTCTTTTTCTGATATATGTGGATATAGCGAAATATTTTGTCCCATTGGCCAAAATGAGACGCCACTACCAGGGCAGAATGTGCAGACTTTTTGGAAAGTCACGTAGAAATAACATCGAAAATAAATAAAATAAATCTGCGGCGCACATTTTGACAGTTTTCAAGCAGCCGTTGGCCGGATCTGAAGACAAACCACCAACAATAACAATACGCTCATTAAAAATAATTCAGGCGTATAGTATATAGTTTGTCCCATTTCTCGTAACACTTGCCTTAAAAATATTGACAGAATTTTGGAAATTTCGGCAAGTGCAAAGGAACTAGAAACATGAGTTTATAAATTAGCGTGGGATCTAAAAGGTTTTCTGTATAGATGAAAATGGCAAGGGATGTTTAAATTTATGATGTTTACATATATCTTTGATCTCTCTAAGGAAAATTTAGCTTTAAAAGCCTATAGGAGGTTTACTTAGCTAAATGATTACAGAACCCTAATCAAATATTTGCCACATCTTCTGTTGACATATAAATACCACCCAAAAGTTTCATAAGCAACTGTCACACATTTCAGGTCCTTGACTTCTCTGAAAAAACATACACTTTCCCTAAGCTGACACTTGTCATTAAATCAATTTCGAAATGCAATGCGCAAATGTTAAAAACAACATAGCCTGACACCAAAATATATATAAATAATGACCAAAACAATTATGAAAAGTCAATGAAATTTTGTTCAGATAAACAAAAGCATTAATAAAATGCCTGGAGGAAAATGAGAAAAAATTTTAACCCTTTTAACAAGCATCCCAAAAAGAACTGTGCTCGAAAACAATTTCTTGATATATGTTTGATATATGTAAACTATTTTAAAAACAAGAACAAACCTAATGGAATAACATTTTGTTTTGCTGCTTGAGCCAATGCAGCTGTGACCACATTACGTATGGGGAATGTTTGTTAGATTTAGTAAAGCTTGCATAGATTTACGATGCTTAAGAGCTTTTTTAAGATACATTTTCAGGTATTTTTGGTCTTTTATGTATAAAATACGTATATTTTGACACACCCATGAAGATTTTTGTTAATTTTTTGTAATGCCTTTCAGTTTAATTGACATTTGAGGGCTGAAAGTCTTTAGGAACATATGCCTGTCAATAATTTAAAAGTGCAATGAACAGCATATACAATTTTATTGAACAACACGCGCATCTTTTTAAAAACCATATTTATAAACAAATCCCCCCATCAAAACCATAAACAAATATTATTCCGAGTTCATTTCATCAATAGGCGATGTAAGGCAAAGCGGAATGGCAAAGATCTTTAAGGTCAAGGCGGGCTCTATAAAGAGAGCAAAGAGAACTGGGGAACTTTGATAGAATCGAGAATATATAGCTCAATCCGCGGCTTCCGTGGCTTATCAACTCATTAGAGAGTAAGTACGAGCTAAATTTTGCGCAGTTTTCGTGGAACAAAACAATCGCTCGGACCGCAATAAAAATATAATTTAAATGCGCTGGAAGCTTCAGTTTGTTGTGATCGCTATTGTAATTCAAATAGTAAGGTCTCAAAATGATCAGGATTCGGATGCGGAAGTGGAAACGGATTTTGGTTCGAAAGCGGAGTTGACGTTTTTTACCAAGCTGTACGATAGCAACCTGCGAAAGATGGTGAAAATTAAGAACAACTCATCGGATCCGTGTGATGATTTTTATGCCCATGCCTGCGGAAATTTTGATCGAGAACTAGAGGAAAATCCAGATGATTTTCTGCCACCATATCTCTATAACAAACAGGACCGAATGGACTTCTTTTCGTCTGAGGTTGGAAATTTTGAAACCATACCAGGAAAATTGATTTCACAACTTTATGCGGAGTGTCGAAAGAGGGGAGAAGGTAATTTTTTTGGTGGAACTTCCAAAACCACCCAGTGGGAGCGTCTGCTGGAGGAAATTCCCTTCCTGGCCAAACATGAGCAGGTGCTCTCTTCCTGGCCTTTTCTCAGACATCAATGGGAGAGAAGACAACTCAATGGCCAGCTCAATTGGATAGTTCTATCGGCTCAACTGGCAGCCCATGGTTTACCCACCTTACTGCGAATCTACTTTGCCCTGGATGCGATTTATGTGACTCCCATGGAGGATCTGCCCTGTCCCAGTATGGAGGATTTCAAATCTACCCTATCTGATGTCTTAAAGGGTCGTCATCATCAAGCCTCCCATATAATAGCACATGAGATGAGGGTTCTTTGTCGTGGAATGAGGGGAGAACTGCCGTTGGCTAGGAGTTTAACTAGGAATGGGAGGACTTCAACCCAAAAACCCAGTCAAGAACAGCTGATCCTGGATGAAAACACCAAGGACTATTTTCAGCTCTTTTTTGCCGAACTTAACTTCTCTAAGGAGCAGCTGGAAATGGCCCGAAAGTTTCCCCTAGATGTGGAGAAGATCAGCCAAGCCTGGGAAGTTCTTAGGCAAACAGAACCCCGAATAGTCTACAACTATGTGATGTGGCAGGCCAAGGAGCAGCTCCGATATCCGGATTGCTATAAAATATCCGAGGAATTCGAGAGATTACTGCACTCGGAATACTGGCAATGGCATGTTTTAAGTCCTCATCTAACTAGGGATGTGGCTTTGGCTGCCTATCAACTGCATACAACCCGTTTCCAGAAGATAAGAAGAGCCAGTCTTTCTAGAAGAGATTGGTATGGTCATCTTTGGCCAGCTTCGGTGGAGAAAAAGGAGCTACAGGTGGCACGCATCCTACAGGCTCATGCTCAGAACTATCTTAATATCACAGAACTTAACGAAAATTATGGAGATTTGGGTTTCGCCAATAACTCCTTTCATGGTAATCTCCTGGTCCTCCGAAAGGCTCAGCTTCGTCATAGTTTTGCATCGCCTTATGTGGATGAAGAGGATGTGAATCAACCACCCTATTTCCTGAGGCACTTTCTCCACTTCGTACTGCTCTCATTGCATCGACCGACATATCACTATTATGCCACTCAGGGCTTGGAACTTTGGAGGCAATCCCGACTTCTCTTGGACACCGATGGTCGCTATACCGCTATGGACTGCCTCGAAAGGCAATCTTTGCAGCACTACGACGCAGAATTGGCTCCAATTTATAGACCACTTGGCTCGGAGGAGGTCGCAGAGACCTTTCATTTCTACCGTTCGTTTCAGTATTCCCTCAGGGATTATCACTTCTGGCTGCAGGGTGAGAGATTTGCCTTCGCTGAGACCGCCGTGCTGCAGTTCTTCGGATTGGATCCCCAAAAGGTGCTCTTCTATGCGGTGGCCCAGCAGTTGTGTAATCGCCAAACGGAGATCTTTGCGGCCCAACTGAATAGGGGTTACATGAATATGCCCGAGTTCCAGGAAGCCTTCAAGTGTGAAGCCGAAAAGCCCATGAATCCCTCGTCCAGATGCATGATCAATATGTGTGAATAAGTTGTTGTCCTAAGCAATAATATAAGAGTTGTTTTGATTTTTAAAATGTAAATTCCCTTAAAAGCCATTTATATTTAAAATGTTTGTGATATTTTATAAACAAAAGACGTATAATAGTTATAATCGCCAAGTTATCAGAAAATAACTATGTTATCATAATTATTAAAGTAAAAAGACTATTAAAATGCTTGTTTAATCCAAAAGAAGACATTCTGCATCCCCTAAATATTTAATAGTTTTTACATATGCACATTAGCTATAAATATTTTAATGGATTTGACAATATTGCCAATCTCAAGCACATACATATGTCGCTCGTTTAAAGACACAGCCGGGAAATGCCGGTCCATCTAACCATTTATTCGCATTTTGTTTGACATTCCAAAGAACATATTGGCTCTTATATATACGATAGTTTATGTATAGTTTTCTTGCGAGTGGATTTCGAGAGGAAAATCGTGGGCGTTCTAGACACACGTACCGGTAATAAATTGAAAAAGCATCAAAAACCATTCCAAAGAACTCTTCAAGCAGAAAGCCAAATATTTTTGGCTGAGAAAATATAGCAAGTACTTAAATGTTTGCTATATTCGCTCGTTTAACCACATGATGGGGATAATAAAGATATAGGGTTTGTATAATCTCCTCTTCCCTGGTTAAATGAAATTACAAATCCCATTCAAGTTTGTTTTCATTGACCCTGGTCGGGAAGTATTCCAAGTTATCTATGTGGGTCTCCAAAACGAGAGTGAGTCAACAAATCTACAAGATTCTTCGCAAGACCCGATTCCTATAAATGCAAAAGACCTGCGAGCATTCGGCTTTGTACGTGAGCCAAGATCCCTTGCGATAACAACAAAAAGTTTTCATTCAGTAAACGCTGCTAATTTAAACCTCAATCACGTAGGTAAGTCTATATATAGGTCTATGAGTGCACATTGTTGATTGAGTGAGTGTTGTGCAAATGCATTTATAAGTTTTCCACGAAAATTATAAACAAATCATAAAGATTTTTGAAATAGATTATATAGCCTTTTCAAGATGCGTTAAAATCTTTATGTCGCAGAGTATAAACAATGCATTAGAAAATGTGATTTATTCTATATATTTTATTAAAGCTTCTTGGAATAGTTAAATTATGACACTTTTTGTGTGCCTTAAATTCTCATATTGGTTTCACTTTTTCATCGAAACTCTCACTTTATAGCCGTACTCAAGCTCACACATTTCAAAAGTACTCACACATTTGCATGTCTCATTACAATTTGGCCAAAATCGAATTGACTCGACCAGCCGGCTCTTAGTTTCTCCAACGTTTTCAGCCCGAACGCTTCATGAAACTGGCAAAGAAATTTTAAATCAGTCGGAACTGCAGGTGGATATAGTTAGTGGAAAAATGCACTTGTCATGTGTCATTCGATTTCTGCTTTTAGGTGGGTAATGATGATGATTCAAAAAATACATGGTCTATTTATTCTCACATTATTTTGCAGCAAGTTTTAGTCAGGCAGCTCTTGGAAGGGGATTTCTAAACAGAAAACCCATTCAAATTCACGAGGATGGGAGCACCACAGAGAGTTCTACGAATCCCACACCTTCCCCCACAACAACACCTTCGAATAGGGACATTACCATCGGACCCTGCAAATGGGCCATAGGTCGTAGTTGTCCCGATCCGGATGTTAAGTACTATATCTATACACGCCACAATCCGATGGATAGACAGTGCCTTCATATAGACGAGTCCCTGGAGAAGTCTAATCTGACTGACTCCTACTTCAATCCTCGATATCCCACGAAGATCATTATCCATGGCTATAACTCGGATATGTTCCTGCACCCACTGCAACAAATGAGAGAGGGTGAGTTATAAGTTTCTCTACTTCGGAATAGAATTCTGAATATCAAAGATCTATTTATAAACCGTATGAACCATACATGTATCTTACGACCAAATAACTATGTATGAACCTTTTATAGAAATACAATACCTTTCTTTCTAGAATACCTGGCCAAGGCGGACTATAATATCATCTATGTTGACTGGAGTATCCTGTCGCCAGGACCCTGCTATATAAGTGCCGTTCATAATACCAAACATGCTGGAATCTGCACCGCCCAGTTGGTAGAGAGATTGGTGGAGACGGGTAATACGGATATCCATGTGATAGGCTTCTCATTGGGAGCTCAGGTCCCCAACTATATAGCGCGGAATCTGAGTTCTTTTATCCTGCCAAGGATTACGGGTTTGGATCCGGCTATGCCTTTATTTATCACCTCCGGCATTGCGGACAAACTGGATCCAAGTGATGCCAGCTATGTGGATGTCATACACACAAATGCTCTGGTTCAGGGAAAATTGGAGCGATGTGGCCACGCGGATTTCTACATGAATGGGGGAATCATGCAGCCTGGTTGTAATGGACAGAAAATTAGTGAGTCTTTTGGTTACTAGTTATATTATGAAAAAAGATATCATACTTACGTTTTTATTTTTCAGATTCCTTTGCCTGCAGTCATCAACGGGCACCCGCCTACTTTCTGGAATCCATTCGCTCACCCAAGGGCTTTTGGGGATGGGCCTGCAGTGGATACATATCCTACCTCCTGGGCATGTGTCCTCCCACGAACTTTCTGCTGGAGGCTGGTGACAATATAAGACCGACTACGAGAGGAATGTTCATGATAGACACCAACGATAGCTCACCTTTTGCTCTGGGCAAGTGGACTGACCTGCCCACTCTGGGAGCAAAGAAACCACATTGGCGAGCTCCGCCGCAGAACCTGAAGGCGCCTCCAAATCAGGGTGTGGATCCCTTGCTGCATCACATCGATCAGTTTGGCAAATTGGCAGCCAACTTTAATAACTTGCAGATGTCTCCCAGTGGGCAGGATCCCTACGAGCACTGGACGAGCTTCAGTCCGGAGCAGAAAGAGAACGATGAAGATAATGATTCGGTGGAGGAACAGGACACGGTGGAATTTATCGAACCAGATGACCGACAAATCAGTACTCAGGCTCCAATACTTAGCTGGTGGGATTACAGAAGGAATCTCACCTATGGATTCATGGAGAACAACATATTTGCTTTGCCAACAGTGGATTAGCCCCCAATTTATGCTTTAAGCTTTTAAAAACCCTTCCTTGCCCCAATTCCTTAATAATATTTAAGAGCCACCTTAGCTAATATTCATATTTGCAAATACAATGCGTATAAACAAGTGCGAATTTAAACCTAGTTTTCATAGTCATTTTCAAATCTTGGGTATTGACAAAACCAAAGATTTGAACTACAATAATTAGAACATTAATTTTGTGCGATTTATTAGGTTATAGTCAAAAAGGGTAGACAAATTGCATAGATATTGATATAATGACTTGCATAACCAGTAGGAGGTTTAATACAATCATTATTGTTTAAAAATCAGACAATACAAATAATTTTACATCCTATGTGCTGAATGTTATTGGTTAAAAAATCGGACAATTTTCTTGAACAAATTTCCATTATGCAGATAATTTGCTTGGGCGTTTAAATTAAGTATTTCAGTTTAATACAATTTCATTTTAATCCGTTCTATTTCATAAATAAATATTCGTTGAGTATAAGCATCGATCGTGCACAATCGATGACTAGAAATCAGATTCAAATTTGGAAACACAGTGAAAACTGTAACTCAAGCATCGTATAATTAAACAATTCCGAATACAATAGCTGGTTTGTATATTTTGTAAATTGTAGTAAATTTGTTGCCATTATAATTAGAAATGGACTTGCAGAATGTGGACAGCCGGGTCGGGATGTGAGTGTATAATTAGTTTGTCCTAGGGCTCTATGTTCTGGTATTGAAATCCGTTGAGAAGATCCGGGGTGGGTACATATATTATCCTTTATGGTGTACAACTGTGTGTATAAAAGGGTTTTTTGCCATTTCGACCCGACCGCTGTGTTTGCTGTATGGCTGACTTTTTTAGTCCGCCAGCTGCCATCCTCCGTCCTGACTACTGAGCTTACAAGTAAAATGCTAATCCGTTATCCGTAATGTTAATAAGCCCCCGCTCTAGACCTTCTTCTTTACGACCCGCCTGACTCTGGACGGCGTAGCAGCCACCGGTGAAACGGGCTCTTCGGGTGGGGGTACTTCTGCGGCGGGAGCTGCTTTAACTGCCGCTTTAGTTGGCGGCTTGACTGGCTCTTTTACTGGTTCGGGTTTCACTTCTTCTTCAGGCTCAGCCTTGATATCCACCTCCATTTCCGGCTGCTCAGAGTCGCTGGTCGCCGACATCGGAGATGGAGGAGCACGCTCTTGGTCGGGATCGTCGTCCTCCTGTTCGTGTGACGTGTTGTTTGTGCTGGACTCCTCATCTTCTGTCACCGAAAGGTGGTACAGCTTCATCTCCTCCTCGGAAATGGGAACCGGAGCATTCGAGAGCGGATCACGCCCATTAAGTGACTTGGGGAATGCAATCACATCACGAATTGATCGGGCGCGACATAGAATGGCAATCAGGCGATCCAAACCCAAGGCAATGCCACCATGGGGCGGGCATCCAGACTCCAATGCGCTGAGCAAGTGCGACAAATGATCATGTGGAATCTTTAGGATCTGTTCAAGTATGAAGTGCTGCATGTCACGATCGTGAATTCGGATGGAACCGCCTCCGACTTCCTGGCCGTTCAGGACCAAATCGTAAGCCTGGGAGCGTATGTTCTCCATGTTTTCGCAGCTCGTTGCAAAGTTGTCGAGATCATCGCTGTGTGGTAGGGTAAACGGATGATGAACGCTCTCCAACTGGTTCGTCTCACGGTTTCGCTCGAACAGCGGGAAGTCGATCACCCACAGGAAGCGGAAGTCATTCGGCTTCTTAATTTTAGCGTTCTCGATCAAAAATTCGTGATAGTCCAGTCGGATGCGACCCAACAAAGTGCGCTGTAAGCAAATTAAAAAAAAGAATGTATTGATATAAAAAAAAATTTTAGAATATGAAAATATGCTAGATGCTTACAGTTTCCACTTTCGGTCCAATGCCCAGGAAGAGCAGATCGTTCTCCTCGAGATCAAACTTCTCGGCTACCTCGGTGGCAACTTCCTCGCCCAGCAGGTTGCCGAGCTTGTCTTGCACATCCTTCGTTGGGCCGAATTTACGTACGAACAACGTGCCCTTAAATTCCTTACCGAGACCTTCGTAATGCTTCCGGGCAGTTCCATTCCAAAAGGCTTCACTGGCTCGCACCACGATGGCATACGCGCCGAAATCCTCGTACTTTTCCTTGAAATCGCCGCTCTTTTCAATGATTTCCGAGATATTGTTTAGAAGAAAACCGAACCGAGTGTCCGGTTTGTCACAACCGTACTTTTCGAGTGCCTCCTCGTACGTAATACGACGGAAAGGTGTTTGCAGCCGAAGAAAATCTTTGGGCCACGAATAGCGGAGTGTCTCCTCAATAAGTTGCATAATGTCATCCCTGCTGGTAAAGGACAGCTCAATATCCAATTGAGTGAACTCTGGCTGACGATCTGGACGCGTTGCTTCATCCCTGTAGCAACGAGCCACCTGGAAGTATCTGTCTACTCCTCCGGACATCAACATCTGCTTGAATTGCTGCGGACTCTGTACGAGCGAATAAAAGTGTCCTGCCTTACGAGTGGGTACCACAAACTCTTGGGCTCCGCCGGGAGTCCTTCTGAAGAGGGTCGGTGTCTCCACCTCAACGAAACCCAAATAGTTGATCAGATACTCTCGCATTTTCATAATAACAGACGAGCGGAGGCGAAGATTGTGCTGCATGTCAGTAAAGCGCAGATCCAGATACCGATGAGTGAGTCTCAAGCGTTCGCCAGCGCGATTGAACTTCCGAATCTCAAACGGAAGATTTTTCTTAGCTGGGTTAAGAACAGTCACCCTATCTGCTTCCACCTCAACATGTCCAGTTTGCATTTTGGGATTTATGGTGGCCGCTGGGCGAGGTATCACTGTACCTTCCACACGCACAATCGATTCAATGGGCACGCCCGTTTCCACATAATCCTCTAGACCCACTGTTTTGGGCAACAACAGAACCTGAGTTTGTCCATAAGCATCCCGAAGTATAAAGAACTTGTTCATGCGCTGGAACTCTAACCAGCCGCATATAACTACTTTCTCGTTGATCTCATTGGAGGTTAGTTCACCGCAGTTGTGTGTGCGATCGGCAAACTTGTTTGTATCCGCCACCTTGACTCGTTGCTCCAGAGTATTGGAGCTATTAGCAGTTGGATCTGCATCCGCTCCATCTTCCTTGGATTCTCCATTATTGCTGCTGAGATTGCCCGAGGCTTCGGCGGCAGCCTCTTCAGCCTCCAGATCATCGATTGACAGCTTCTGCTGCTTCTCCTTGGCCTTGATGGGACCGTCGTAGGGATCGTCTGGGTTCACGATCTTCACGCTTGTCACACTAACTTCCACCTCACCAGTATCGTATTTCTGAAGGAAGTTTTATAATATATATTCTGATTTATAAATGGACTTTTTATGCTTACCAAATTAATATTGGCTTTGGGTCTGCCCAAAACTTTGCCCACTATCTGAATTACAGTCTGCTCTGGTGTCGATAGGAAGGTGTCGCTAAGCTGAAACGAGCGGTATACGGTAGCATATTCAATAAACGTTTATTGTCAAGTTAGCTTAATTTTCTCACTTACCGACTGATCCTCGATCATGAGTTGTGTCTGGCCATAGCCATCCTTAAGCTGTAGAAATTTGTTATTCTTTGTAGAGGGAATCCAACCCACCAGGGTCACCGTCTTGCCCACATCTTCGCGACGCAGATCGTTGCAGGTGAGATCGCGGTTCTCAAAGTACTTTAAGATATTCTCGTTCTCTGTAAAATTATATTAAGTCAATTTTAGGATAAACCAACTTCTTATGGTCTTTTCCACTCACTGGCTATCTTGTATTCGGTGCTGGTTATCCCAAGGTTAGTCTGCTGCTGCACCATGGTGCTGTAGGTGCGCTTGTCACCAGCTCGCTTAGTTCCGCTGGTGGGGAAGTGAATGTTGAGGATGTCCTGCACCTCTACTTCAATCTCGCCCGTCGGCATGGTCTGATTGCACGAATTGTGCGGACGACGCATCACCAGACCCACAATGGTCAGGGTGGTGTTCTCGGGCATGTTGTTCATGCGACGCGCCACTCGCGGATGCTTGTCCTCCAGAACCACTAGCTGGCAGGCTCCGCCGTTGCGATCGCGCAGCTCTGCAAAGCGATTAACTCGCTTCTTGATCAGCCTGCCGGTCAGCTCCACAAATAATCCGCAATGGTGGTTGCGCAACTCGCCGCAACTCTGGCGCATCGGCTGCGGGGGTTGCGAGTTCATGTTGAAGTTGCTGGCCATGGCGCTCATCAGCTGCATCAGATCGTTGCCGGATATGTTGGGACCACCCACTAGAATAAAGAGCATTATTGGTTAGTGTGTGGTTAATGTACTAAATAATGGATCTGATATGCATGCAAAAAGTAGCTTATTATTAATAAGTTATTAATTCCTTTGCAACCAATCGATGTTTTTATAGCCGTTACTCGTTAAGTAAAAATTATATATATAGCCATGTCCGCTGAGATTTTGAAAACTATGAAAGCAAGAGTTGGGATTTAGCGCCTACATTTTTGAAGATTTTGGTAAAATTGGAATTTGGTTTTGATTATCAATACCCATCTACATGCCAAAATTTAGTCAAATAAGTTATTATTAAGTTATTAAATAGTTATAAGCAAATAAAGTAAGCAATCTTGGAAAGAATTGATTTGTTTTTTCTCTCTTGTTTCATAAATATTTTACATGTATACAGATCATCGATGTTACTTCTACAAAAATGGTGTTAAAACAATTTAATATATTTTAATTAATTGTTCTACAGAACTTTTCTTATAATTTTAAACAGCAATTTTATTAGAACGTATGTAGATAAGAAAAATGCTGTGAAATTCTTTAAAGAATCATAAAAGATTAATTAAAAATTATTATTAGGTTCGTTTTTAGACATTTTTTGAAAAACGCTTTATGCTAGTTTTATAAGCATAATAACCATACGAAAAACATGGACTTCCTCAAAGTTTTACAATAAATTGTCTGTCATTTGAATTATTTGGGATTTACTTACTGTTAAATGGATTTGGCCCTGGACCAGGTCCGAAGTTGTCATTGAATGCGGGTCCTCCGCCCCCGCCACCGCGGTAGTTGTCGAAGTCGCTGTAGCCACCGCCATCTCCTCCTCCATAGACACCACCACCACCACCACCGCCACCGCCACCACGTCCTCCGAATCTGCCGCCGCCGCCACCGCCACCACGATACCTGCCACTCATGATCTGCAAATCGGAACGAGGGATTGATCATGGAGCGATCTCATGGTAAGGGAGTGATTCACAAGCACTTACGTGACCACAATCAGCCGGTTCTTGCGCTGAAACCAATGAATCCGGGGTGCTCCGATGCCGAATATGCTTTTCCGCCAATAAACCGCCGCTGGATGAGCTATGCACGAGTTGTTGTTGCAGCTGGAGCCGCTGATGACTTCGCCAGAGGATCCTGGAAATTAGTAACATTTTTTTTTTTGTTTTATTTTTTATTAATTGTTCCCCAACTATTGCCGCATGCAATGGGCACTGATATATGTAGGAAAAATTTTCAGACCCCAGCACGAGCTGCACACACACAGACGCACTCTAATCAGACAGCGGCACAAACATATACACACTTTCCAAAAATGCGAATGTGTATGCGCGTATGTGCCGGGCGTCGCGAAAAAGCCGACGAAAAAGTTTGCGTATAGTTAAGAGCTGTACCTTAAAAACTGGATCGACTGTAGGGCCACAGTTATGCCGTATTCGTACAGCAAAAAGTCACCGAAAATTCACAAATATCTGGCTCCCAAATGAACGTCAATTTGATTTCTGAATTTTACGAAAAAATTGTCACTGTTTTGGCTTGGCTGGTAGAGGTGGAGAAACATCGATAGCTGCCTCGATATCATCGATATTTTTTGGCTGGTATTAAGTAGGACCGTTGAGCATCGATAGTTTGTGAATTCAGGGGGTGGAACTATCGAATGTTTAACTTTCTATATCGATGTGTTTTTATTTAAATATTTTTATATTTATCCCAAAGCCGCTTTTTATGAGTTTAAAATTTGTTTTATTTACATGACACTTAAATTCATTAACAAATGCATTCAATAACAATCTATTTGTGTTCATCAGTACTACATGCATGTGCAAAAGTCATACAAAATCAGCTTTGTATTCTGGCAATCACAAGTTTCCTTCTTAACTTGCATTCTGGCTTATAATTTACAAAAAGTACACGGACCCGACAGTGCAGATTAAACCATCCCAAAAGAGTGATTTACGAAATCTAACTGCCGTAGTCGGTGCCGTTGAGTGAGTGCTTGAAATGCTGAACCACGTAGTCGTGATAGTAACACATTATGCACAGAGGTTGACCGAGAATAATGGAGGCCCACACGATTATGTTGCCCATTCGGGGCCCTAGCTTTTTCTCAATCGACTTGGAAATGGCTGACAGGGGAATCTGGCCCATCATGCCCATGAAGGCCCAGATCTTGTAAGTTTGCAGAGGAACGGAAACCTGGAAGCAGAACAAAAATAATTTAAAATAGGTAGGAACTTAATATATCACCTATCTTACTAAATATTCGTGGAAGATGGCACTGAACAGGAAGACAATAGTGGAAGCCTGTCTTGAGGAGTAGCCCATTTGGACCACTGGGATGTAAAGATGGCGGACACACCACCTGTGAACTGGCATGTTCCAGGTCCGCCAGAAGGTATCAATATTATTGGCATTCCACCAATCACAGTAAAAGTTTCGATCGGCAAAGTTCAGGAGTTCTCCCACCGCATTTAGGAAGGAGTGGAACATCAGGTAGAAAAAGCACAGCCAGCACAAGTGATTGGGTAACTAATAAATGAAGAGTAAATTAAATAAATTGTAAGAAATTCATAAACTCCATCTATACTAACCGCCAGTTTCAGGAGTCGCTCGGTGGCCAATGCAACATCCATGTTGGAGAACGGAATCAGAGAGTTCCGAACCGAGGGAATAATCCACTGCTGGAACAAAGCCATCACCACATTCACTCCAATCACCACCTCCAACAAGCGCTTGAGCAAAAAGCGTTTGCGCACGCGCGAAGTTCGAGGGAAGTTCAACTCGTAGCAGAGTGTGGGAGCGCAAAGGAAGTACAGGAGATCCCTGTAGGTGAGATTATCCGGATATTGCACCAACTTTGAAACGTCTTCATCTTCTTCGCCGCCATCCAAAAATCCATTTTCTAGATGATAACGATTGATAAATATTTAATAACAAAGATTTAGAATTCAAAGGTATTGTAACTTACTAAGTTCCGCCAAAGTAATGCTGGGTCGACGTTCCCGGGGGTTCTTTTGGTAGTAGGTCTGTCGGCACCACATGTTCGTTTGTATATAGGACCAGAGTTTTAGGAACAACACAGAGTAAAAGAAGCACACGGTTGAGGCACCCACTATAAAGACACATAAGTTATAAATATATTCTTTTGTAGCTATTTTTTTTTCTTACTCAAACTGAAGGCATGTCCTTTAAGGTGAATGGTGACCACGGGCAGGCAGACCATCACCACAATGTTAACAATCTGGATGAAGATGCCTAAACTCTCGGCAATAATTTCCTGGAAATTCGGTTAAAAATTAATTATTATTTATAAGATAAAAAGAACATTTGAATAAAACAACTATCGATAACCAGTAACCGTAATTTCTCCCATCACCAAACCGCAACTCGCACTACCGATAGTTCCAAGTTCCATCTCCAGATCCGCGAGCATTGTGTGCGAAAAGCCATTTGCGATTTCATTTCATGTTGCAAAAGTGCGGAGGAAAAACCCCCCAGTGATAATACTTAAAACTAATTAGCCCCTCGAAAAGAAAACAGACTCGAAATGGAAGTGACAGAGGCGAATTTGCAGCTGCTGGCCGGTTATTTGCAGCAGACGCTGAGCGCCGATCCCAATGTCCGCCGGCCGGGTGAGTGTGTGTGTGTGGGAATGTGTGTGCACACGGACGGCACGCACACAGCTGCACATGCGTGTTGTGTGCGTGCGCGGGAAATGATTTTGGCGACGCTTGGGAAAAATACGGTTTTTAAAAACCCAGAAAGGGTTCTACATGCTTTCCAGACCTATAAAACATTATGAAATACATGCTGTCTACACTCGGTTGATCTAAGATTGACGATCTTGATAAGACTGTTTCCCAGCTTAATTTTTAAGCACGTCCCTTTATTCTATAGCTTTTTTCCAAGCCCTCTGTAAAAATCGAAGGTCCTTATCTTAGTAGCTATTATTATAGTATGGGGATCATCAGCCCACACGTGCTTAGCTTCCTTTCTAAGGAATATCTTTTAAAATCGTTTGTTAATATTGATTTTATAGAAATGGTTCATTCTACCCAATTACCCAAGTTCTAAAATATTTGTATCAGTACCCAAACATCTATTCTAACAAGCTCTCCCCCTTCACCCCAATTTTCCAGCCGAAAAACTCCTGGAGTCCACGGAACTGCAGCAGAATTACCCGATTCTACTGCTCAACCTGATAGATAAAGCCCAAATGGACATGACCACGCGGGTGGCGGGCGCCATTGCCTTCAAGAACTATGTGAAGCGGAACTGGGCCGCCCACCTGGACACCGATGGTCCGGATCGCATTCACGAAAGCGATAGGAACACAATCAAGACCCTGATCGTAACGCTGATGCTCCACTCGCCGGTGGCTTTGCAAAAACAACTAAGCGACGCTGTCAGTATCATTGGCAAGCATGATTTTCCGAAAAAATGGCCACAGCTCATCGACGAGATGGTGGAGAGATTCGCCTCGGGCGATTTCAATGTCATCAACGGCGTCTTGCAAACCGCTCACTCGCTGTTCAAGCGCTATCGCTATGAGTTCAAGTCGCAGGCTCTGTGGGAGGAGATCAAATTTGTGCTGGATCGCATGGCCAAGCCATTGACAGACTTGCTCCAGGCCACCATGCAGCTGACCAAGGTGCACGAGAACAATGCCGAGGCTCTGAAGGTCATCTACGGGTCTCTGGTGTTGGTGAACAAGGTGTTCTTCTCGCTGAACTCCCAGGATTTGCCAGAGTTCTTCGAGGACAACATGAACACGTGGATGGGGGCGTTTATTCAGCAGTTGGCCGCGGATGTTCCATCGCTGCGCACTGGCGATGATGAGGATGCGGGGGTTCTGGAGCATCTGCGTACGCAGGTCTGCGAGAACATTTGCCTGTATGCCAAGAAGTACGACGAGGAGTTTAAGCCTTTCATGGAGCAATTCGTGACAGCAGTCTGGGAGTTGCTAGTGAAGACCAGCTTACAAACCAAGTACGATGCGGTGAGTGATAGAAATAAGTAAGCTTTTTCAAGAACCTATTTTATAATTATCCCAATTTTATATTATTTTTTCCCCAGTTGGTTTCCCATGCCCTGCAATTCCTCTCCGTCGTGGCTGAGCGGCCACACTATCAGAGCATTTTCGAGAACCCAGAGATTCTTGCGCAGATCTGCGATAAAGTTGTCATTCCCAATCTGGACATTCGGCCCTCAGATGAAGAAATATTCGAGGACAGTCCAGAGGAGTATATTCGACGGGACATTGAAGGCTCTGACATTGACACTCGACGTCGGGCGGCCTGCGATCTGGTCAAGACTCTATCCATTAACTTTGAGCAAAAGATCTTTGGCATCTTTGGCCAGTATCTGGAGATATTGTTGACCAAGTACAAGGAGAATCCGGCTGCCAATTGGAGGTCAAAGGATACGGCTATTTATCTAGTCACTTCATGGGCCTCTCGGGGTGGAACCCAAAAGCATGGTATCACACAGACCTCGGAGCTGGTGCCACTGCCGGAATTTTGCGCTCAGCAGATTATTCCAGAACTGGAGCGACCCAACAGTAAGTAATCTATACAAAATTGTATATCCCATCAATCTAATATATGTCTCTCCTTGTAGTTAACGAAATACCCGTTCTTAAGGCAGCTGCCATTAAGTACGTAATGGTATTCCGCAGCATTTTGGGTCCCCAGGTTCTGGCCAACTGTCTGCCGCAACTCATCAGACATCTTCCCGCCGAAAGCCCAGTGGTACACAGCTATGCTGCCTGCTCTGTGGAGAAGATCCTCACCATGAAAGATGCTAGCAATGCGGTAGTGTTTGGTCCTCAAGTGCTTGGACCTCACGCAACTCAACTCATCAGCGGATTGTTTGCAACCCTCTCGCTGCCGGGATCCGGCGAGAACGAGTATGTAATGAAAGGTGAGTTTGAGATGCGAGTTAGTCAGTTCTCTTTTGTATAACAAAGTGTCTGTTCTTTCTGTTCAGCTATCATGAGAAGCTTTGCGGTTTTGCAATCGGCTTCATTGCCTTTTATGGGCGTTGCCCTTCCCCGGCTCACCGAGATTCTCACCCAGGTGGCAAAGAATCCATCGCGTCCGCACTTTAATCACTATCTTTTCGAAACGCTGGCTCTGTCCATCAAGTAAGTTATATTACTTCCCACTTTAAAGAAGTGTTAACAGAACTATCCCTTTACAGGATTGTGTGCCAAGCTGATGCATCAGCTGTGAGCTCCTTTGAGGAGGCCTTGTTCCCTGTTTTCCAAGGCATTCTACAGCAGGATATTGTAGAATTTATGCCCTACGTCTTTCAAATGCTTTCAGTGCTGTTGGAAGTTCGGGAGGGCTCTGGTTCCATACCGGAACCATATTGGGCTCTGTTCCCTTGCTTGTTGTCTCCAGCTCTTTGGGACCGTACGGGCAATGTTACACCCTTGATTCGGCTAATCTCAGCTTTCATCAAGCAGGGTTCAGCTCAGATTCAAGCCTTGGGTAAATTGGTGAGTAAATTTGTAGATAGATATCACAGAAATAAATTTACTAATTCCATTTTCACCAATTTCATTACAGAGTGGAATCCTTGGGATCTTCCAGAAGATGATTGCCTCCAAGGCAAACGACCACGAAGGCTTCTATCTGCTGCAGAACCTCCTTTCCTACTACCCAGCCGCTGAGATTCAGCCTACCTTACGTCAGATCTTTGGGCTGCTGTTCCAGCGATTGTCTCTCTCGAAGACGCCCAAGTATTTAAGCGGCATCATCGTCTTCTTCAGCTTCTATGTGATCAAGTACAGTGGCGGTCAGCTGGCTCAGTTGATAGATGAGATACAGCCCAACATGTTTGGCATGCTGCTGGATCGCGTGTTTATCACTGAGATGGGAAAGGTTCCCAAGGAACAGGATCGCAAAATGGTAGCTGTGGGTGCCACAAAACTGCTCACTGAAACGCCGGAAATGTTGCAGCCACAGTACGCGGCTTTCTGGCCAAGACTGCTACACTCCCTAATAGATCTTTTCGAGCGGCCACCTGAGAAATTAAAGGGTCTCGAAATAGGAGAGTCTGCCGGAGTTGCCGAGGATCCCGATGCGGGTTATCAAGTGGCCTTTGCCCAACTCACTCATGCCCAGCCCAACCAGCAGGATCATCTGGCCGAGATCACAGATGCCCGCCAGTTTCTGGCCACATCACTCTCTAAGTTCGCGCAGTCGAGGGCAGGAGAGTTGCCAACTTTGCTGGCACCCCTCGAACCGGAGTACAAGCAAGTGCTGCAGAAATATTGTGATCAGGCTGGTGTACGCATTGCCTAAAGGAATCGAATGACTTGGGCTCATTTATCGCAATCAAACCTCGCCATACATTCGCAACTCTTATCTTAATCACTCATTGCATGCCCGGTTTATTGTCATTGGAAATTGTATCTATTGTACGTAAATGTAAGTTTTGTAAACAATAAATAGTTATGTTTTTTAAAAGTTAATATGTTAACTTTTTTTTGAATACCTCACAAGTACTGACTAAATTTTACACTTTGCTTTCAAAGGAACAAATCGTTTTTTGTCAAACACTTTTGTAATTGTCCAAAATTGTTCTTATTTTTAGCAATAACTCGATATTTTAAAATTTATCATATAAATAGATAACCATGTTCAAGCTAATTATTATGTGTCTAAAATCACGATCGAACAAATCAGGCGTTAGATGCTATCAAAGTGAGTACTTACCATGGCAAGACCCTTTTCCACCGCCAGACAGAGGGAAATGTGAACCAGAGAGTCTGGAAGTTAAATGATTAAGAATAGGATGGTTAACTTTTGGAATCTAAGAACTTACAAATGCTTAGGATGAGGGCATTGTGACCCTCTCCTTCATTGTGACCGCTTAAGAAAAAGAACCAGTCCAGGGGATTGATGCGAATTCCATATCTGAACAGTGAGGAATAATATTGTTAAAATAGCTTTTCAGTTTAGTTTTCCGTAATATTTACTTGAGCAGGTTCTCTAGACCCAACCTCAGGCCTCCAATGCAAAGCAGCAGAAAGCCCCAGTTAACCAGTCCTGTGAAATTAGTAAATCCAGAGCTCCAGGAAAACAGGGAGTCCCTAGGTCTATGGATGGGTCTGCCGGGTTGAGCCCTCCGCTGCTTCTCCTCCTTATTGGAAATTTCCTCAGCACGAGTCACACTCTGTGTCCTCCTATATCTCAGCTTCTTCTCAGATCCATTCGTGCCATTCCCATTTCCATTCCCATTCTCATCCTTATCCAAGACTTTACGATACTGCCGCAGATCGATGGGATTGCCATGCTGATCGAATAGGTTTTGGGTTGACTTGCGGTTTCGCAGATTGCTTAGATTGTGTTCTGTGGCAGAGGCTGATCTTCTCAAGCGCTTCATGATTCCCACACCTCCAGTTACTCCATTCTTGGTGGGTTCTGTTTTCCCGGGCCCCTTATCTTGGGGTTCTTTGTTGGTAGTCATGATGGTCTAGCCGTTTTGTGTCCCCCTCTATAAAGAAATTTGTATTTATGATGATTGGTTTTTCGTATCGCAAATTCTTTTGCTATTTAAAGCGGTACACAAAGATAAGATTTGTTTTGGTATCTCCCCTATAAAAAGTTCAAGTACTTTTATTTTGACACAGCAATATCTCAGATTGGAACAATCAGTTCTGGTTTTACTGGAGTTGGTAATCCATTGACCAAATACACAACTCTGATAAGAAGTAATGAGGGTAATTAAGTAATATAAAGTCTTAATCAAATAATTTCTTGGTTTATATTTTTGGAAATTGTTTTATTGTTCACTGAAGCGACCTACTAATAAGACGCAAATATAAAACACGTTTTATATAGTTTTAATGTATTCGCAAATAAATGGGTCCAGACGCACCCAGAAGCAATTCCGCATATATTGCGGTCAAAGTTCATCTCACTGTGCGATTGCTGATTAAGTAACCAGATACCGATTTGCATAGACATTGAACCCGCAAATGATAGTGTGGTTAAGTCGCCTGGTCTATAATCCAACAGTTTCTCACTTATAATATCATGTAAGACCAGTTGCGAAGTTGTTACGACCGTACTTGACATTAGCTACCTGAGTCAAGATCGCATGTCAACTGGATGATCATCAAATACCAGGGCATTATCAGCATTAAACCTCAATGAATATATTAAATATCCCACCCAGCTGTTGCGAAGCCTCACTAATTGACTTTCTGGAACTCACAAATACTTAATAGTTTTCTGTATCTGCAGTTTCTATTTTTGAATGATTTGTGATTATCGCTTTCACGTAACTTGTTTATGTCAAACAACGATTAGGAAAATGCTATTTCAGCAATTGTTTAATATTTATATTTCAGTATAATAGATGCAAACTGATTCTATGACGAAATTTGAGGGTTATCTGTTGAAAGAATTCTTGAGTAACAATTTCAACGTCACTTTATGGAGGCAACAATTTTACTTAACAGTGTTATTTGAGTAGTTTCTTGATACCTTGTTTATTTGACATCAAAGTTCGAGTACTATCGCTGCTTATCGTCTATGCATTAAAAATCAAATTAAAGCGAATGTACAGTGGGATTCAAAGCCATTCATTGGAATACTGGTTTTTCAAAAACTGAAATGCAAATAACAAGGAAATATTCTTGATTCAATTTGAAAATACTGCACGTGAAGAGGTGGAACTTTTTCTGAATCTTATGGTACACTTCGTATTCCAATGGCAACAAACACTAACTTTTACATAATTATTCAGTGCGTTGAACTGATCCAAGTGCAAGAAACACATATTATTCAAAAGTATATGTACATGAAATGCAGAACGATTTAAGTCGAGTCACCGTGACGCAACGTCATCCAGAACTCGAAGTCGAAGCTCGTCATGGCTCATCAACCGCATGATGAGTAATTACCAGGCATGTGGGACCAAAGAAGTACGAGATGTACATACTCCCAGAGATACCGCCCTACATGCATATAAGAAACCACACAATGGAGGTCAAATGAAATGATCATTGTAGGGTTTACAAAAGGGTGATACTCACAAAAAATAAGTGCTACATTATGATCATTGTAGGGCTTACAAAAGAGTAATACCCCCAAAAAAAAATAATATTATTAATACTAGGAAGGCATTTTCAAGAATATTATAAGACCTATCAATCGTTTAAGAAAGATTTTTACTGATTTTGGGGTTTACAAAAGAGTAATACTCACAAAAAATTGTAATATTATAAATATTAGGAAGACATTTTCAAGAATAATATAAAATCTATCAATCGTTTAATACAGATTTAAACTGATTTAAGTTTTAGAGACTATTATTCAGTACTTCTTAACTATGCTATTACATTGGCCGCTACTGTTTAAATTGATATGTGAGCACATCACCCGCATGTGGCGAAGGGAAGGGAACCGAACCTGAATTAAATGGTCGCTGCGGTTTAACGATTAGTTTGTTGAACTTTCGGTTTATATTTAAACAGTTTAAGGTGGTGGGGGCTTTGCAGCGGTAACTGCAGCACTTATCTGTACTACACAGATATCAATGGTTCATCTGTCCAGTGCTCACTGTTTACTTAGTGCACTCCCGTCGTAAAACATAAAAGCCTATGCCCTAGGGCGACCTTAACATCTTGGAAATATTCCAGACACTTCAAGTTGTAGCCTACTTGGTTGATAATTACTGCCGGAACCGGTTGCCGCCATATAAGGAAGAACTTCTCATAGCGGCGATAAAAGTAGGTCAGTAACTCGAGTGAATCCATCATCATGACTGCGGAGCGTCTTTGATCGAACGGCGATTGATAAAGGTTATCAAAGCTGTGGGTCATAAACTCGGTGATTGCATAAGCCCACGCGTTATCATGTTGCCAGGGTAGACATGTCTGGCTGGGCCACCCTAATCACACTTTTCTTGCCCCCTTACAATGTAAAACGGATGCAGTCGATCTACAGTCGAAATTCTATAAGTAGATCTAGATGTGAAGTTCTAAAATTAGTCTTCAATCATTAAATATTGCTCTTCGATTACTCAAGGGATTCCAAATATTTTACTGCTGAGTAATTCCCATTAAGTAATTGTAATAGTTTCGGAGCTTGTAAATTTTTCCTGAAGTACTTTATAAAGAGTCTTGTCACTATAATGACTATTCTATCTCGAAATCGTTCCTATTTTATTTAAAGCAAAATACTTTTTTCTTATAACACTGGATAAGAACATTTATAAAATATATTATATGAAAACATTCTTAACTTTAAGATAAGAGATTAAATTTAGTCATCTACTGTAGCCGCAATTATCGAGAGGAAAAAGACACGAAAATTCGCCGGCTGCTCTCTAATCAGAAAGAAGCAAATGTTCTTATCAGCCTGACATTTGGCGTGCCACTGATAATTTCTAATTGGAATGGAATTTTGTTTTTCCAACCAGACACTCTCTCTTTCTCTCTGGTTGGGTCGCGTTTTTCTCTGATCAGAAAGAGTCTCTGTTTGGTTTTTTGGCATTAACCGGTTTTTTGGCATAGAAGTTTGTTTGGTTTTTTGTTTGGTTTCCACTGTTTGGCTTTTTCTGTTTGAGGCCGACGACGCCACATTTCGGAAATCATTTTTAAAGTTTTTTTTTTCAGGCCGCGACGCAATGCCCGGATCAAGGTTATATAGCCATCGGGCAAATATATGCACAGGCATTCACGCAATTTAGCTATATGGGCATTATCACCGCTCATTCAATTCAAGGGAAGGCGGAGATAGTTTCACTAATTTATGATGGCTATATACTAGACTGTATAGTTTGCATACTCTATTCGATTATATATGATTTGTTGTTATTTTTTATTTCTGTCAGCTTGTTGCTGCTGTTATCATAAAAATTAAACCGCCTTAATGGCTTTTTGAGTCACAAAATCACTTCGCACGTGTTTATCTCTGTATTCTTTGTGGCCAAAAGAAACACATTTCTAATTGGAACAACTGCATTTGCAAATCTTCTTCTTATTCGCTCAAGTTCATTACTCCGCCTTCATTAACTCCAAACAAAAGCGAGAGTTGAAAAGAGAACGAAGATCGCTTGGGAAGCGTAAACAAAAACTCGCACACTTGATCTTTTTTGCATTTGAGCGTCTTTTGTTGTTGACTTTCTGTTAATAATACAGTATTTTTGTTTTGTTAACACACCTTGCGCACACAATTTAATCCAATTTATCGTCACGCACTGGAAGCGCTTTCTTTTACCGTAAACCGCACTCTTCGACGGCGAATTCTCAACTGGCGCTTGGAAAATCCAATTGGAAATAAACAAAGCGAGGCGATAGGTCGGACATCAGTGATGTCGAAGATTTGGCGGGAAATAGCTGCTTTGGGAGGGAAAACGGAACATGTAGAACCATAAAATACATAATGGCCTTAATTTAATTTTACAAAATTTAGTTATTTTAGTGGTTTCAATTTAAATTCTTTATTATTATTATTAAAGACCACTTTTCTTCGCCAAAATTCTGTCAGCACTGTCAAACATAAGTTTGTGTTATCGTTGTCGAGCGAAGAACGATCGATATTCACTGGAAAGCTTGCTTATTGGCGGTTTGTTTGAATTTTTAACATTGGAACGGCGTATTAAAGAATGTAGATATATTTTGTAAGCAAAATATTTAAAAACATCCCTAAAAAATTTAAAGCTCAAAATTTCTAAGGTTTTCGATCTAAACACTGGTATTCTTATTTTAAATTATTTAAAGTATATACATATGTACTTACTTTTTTATTTATGTATGGTTAAAATAAAAGACCAATGTAGAAGATCCGGTTGCCTAACAATAGATGGCGTTCTCGGCTGATCTCCTCCATAGGTGGCGCCAGGGAATTTATTTTGATTTTCATATTTATTTTTCATTTATTGCATTTTGCAATTTTATTTTAACAACTAAAAAACATAAGTGAAATTTTCAATAATTTAATGCTTAATTACACAACGAAATTGTATGTTATAGAGTGCAGTCACATTGTGACGCCAGCAGGCCTAAGAACTAACAACAAATAAATACAGATTCAATTAAAGCTGACTTATGTACAAGAACGTATTAGGCGTGAGAAAAAGTTTCTGATAGATTTGGTATAGAGCGCAGTTTAAGAAAAATGCTTATCTTGGGCTAATGCTGCTGTCGCCTTTCGTCGATCTCGTCCTCGTCCAGACCCTCGATGAGGTCCTCCAAATCGTCATCCCCATCGTCGGCATCATCCACAAATTGATCGATTCGCTTGAGTAAATTGTGTGATTCATCTGATTCATCCTCCTCGTCGTTCTTCTGATCCTCTAATTGACCATCGGTGGTCTGATCATCTTCCTCCAGCTCCTCCTCCCCATCATCATCATCATTGTATTCCAAAATATCGCTGGTGGTGACCCCGACTTTAATCCGTGACTCTGGCAGTTGATCATAGTCAAAGATCTGACGCGTTGATCGAGGTGGTGTCGCGGTGGAAATCGCTGACCCTAGATCTTCACCGGCTTCATCATCTTCGAGCACACTGTCTATGGACCCCGCCTTACTGGAAATTCTCGGTTCTGGTTGCTGGGGCATCAACTTGGTGCTAACTGGCTTAAGCACGGTGCTCGTGGTAGAACTAGCCATCAAAGGTGTCCCCGTTGATGAGGCAATCTCATGGGCATCGGCAAACATATTGTCCAGTAGACTCAGCAAATCATTTACACCACTTGGGGGTTCTGAATTGGGTTGTTTTGGAACTAAAGGGGTGGTACTACTAATGGGTACTTTGGTTGTTGTTGCTTTAGTGGTTTTTACAGTGGGGGGTTTAGTTATCTTTGGGGTAGTGCTAACCGGAGCTTTAGTAGTGCTAACCGGAGCTTTAGTAGTGCTGTAGACTGGAGCTTTTTGAGGAGCTCTTGTGGTTGTAGTGGGTTTACTAGTCGTCGTAGTCGTTGTTGTTGTCGTTGTCATCGGCGTGGTTTTGGTATGCAAATGCTTAACCTGATAGGACTCCACTGTGCCCCTTTTCTCGTGGGGATCAGCTATCCTAACCACAGGTTCCCGCTTCGAGATAACCGGCACTATCTTGGGACTATGTGGATCCAATTCGTTTTGGCCATAGGTCTTGACCTTGGAGTGACCCTCGATAATGAGGTACATGGGTCCCATTAGGGGTTTCGGTGGTTGCTTGTAATGGGAGAAAAGCGAATCGGTGGTGGGTTCACTTGGAGCAGGAGCCACTGTGGGTCTCTGGGCCAGATTGCTCGTCTGGGGGATGAGCAGGCGATTACTCGTGGTTGTTGTGCTGGTTCGGTGATAAATGGGCGTTGTGGTGGAAGGTGTGGTTCCCACAGTGGTTGTGCTGGTCATCAACATGGGTCTGAAGCCGGTGTTACTCGTTTGTGGAGTGGGTGTAATGTAGATCTCGGGTTGCAACTCATGTCTGGTGGCCACTGTGGGCACTGCAATGGTGGGTGGCCCAGGCACAAAGGTCACCGGGGCATAGGTAAACGGTAGTCGGGTGGAACTGATGCCCATTCCCATAGGAGGAAGTGGATGATGTGGCTTACTGGTGCCCATCAGATACTTGGTAGCCGGCATTGTGGGCTTAACCTTGGGTTTAGATGTGACCACCACCTCTTTCTGAAGCAGCTCATGCAGCCAGGGTTTCCTTAGTCCCGTTTTGGAGCCACTCTGAAGTCCTGGCAGCGAGTTGGGCGAGTAGCTCATCATCGACTGCTGATGGTGGTGGGGCCTCGAAAAGCTGTAGGTGTGCATGGACTCCTGGAGATGAGGATCCGAGTAACTCAGGCGATGTGGTGGCATGCTGGTCAACCAGGGCGTGGAGGATGACAACGAGGTGTGGTGACCCATTGGTTGATGGTAGATCACCGAGGAAGTCATCGGTGATTTGGGCGTCGGTGAACTCATATGGTTGAGGCTCATATAGGAGGTGGGTGCTCCGGTGGCCATCATACTATGTCGGTACTCCAGTTGAGGAGGGGCACCACTGGACTTTATCATCATCATGGGCGGTGGCATCAAATGGGTGGGTGGCATGTGCTGCTGGGCATTGAAATGGGGTGGCATATGTTGGGTTTGTGGACCATGTTGCTGCTGGGTGGGGGCATAGTAGCTCCTCCGGATGGCGGCATATTTGGCCTGCTGCTGCTGATGCTGTTGATTGTGGGTCAATCCAACTGGTGGATAGGAGTGGGAGTGGGGCACCCTGACCCGTTCACTGGCCACGCCCAGGAGCAGCACCTCGCTTTTGGTTTTGTTGCGTAGGACCTCCGGCGGTAGCTCCTTCTTCCTGGCTTCCGGATTACTCTGACCCGTGCTGTTGTTCTCCGCCCAGTAGCGTACCCTTTCCAGGGCCGGCGGACTGTAGTCATAGGTGGGATCCTTCTGCAGGGGATCCCCGTGTCCCAGGGGTCTCCACTCGTTGTTGTTGTTCGGATCCAGCCGTTGAGCTGTGGAAGAAAAGATACCATGTCGGATGATTGAGTGCCGTATCAATTTACTTTTACATGTGCAACTTTAATTGCCCCCCAAATAGCCGGGGGGCATCTGAGATGGAGATTCAGCGAGGAGCTGGGAGTTTTTAGCTAGGAGCTAGGAGCTATGTGCCATGGCCACAGCCAAGTCATAACTCGTTAAAGTGTTAACAAATGTTTTTGTCCCGTCACTTGGTTGAGTCAATGCCGGCATCCTGGTTGCTCAAAGCGAGGTTAGTTTAAGGATTTTTATTTTACCCAATATATAGTTTACCTAGTATAAGCCTATGTGTATCCCTTAAAAAATTTTAAAAATTTAAAAACCACTATAAATGTAATATTTTCCCTGCAATGCTTAGTATTCCAGTTAACAATAATAAAATGCTTCATATATTCAAAAAACTAAAAACAGCATAAATATATTTCTTAAGTTAAGCACAGCTAGCAGCTAACAAATCCCCTTTATAAATAAAAGATTCATACAATATTTAAATATATTTTTGTAATATTTTAAAAGTGTGGTTCAGTATATAAGCTAAAAAATGTGGGTCCCAAAAAAAACTTAATACTATTTATATGGCGATTTTGGGTTTTGAGAAAGATTTCTAGAATAAATATTTTCTAGTTTAATTTAATGAATTAAAATCATTCCTGTATATCTCTATAGTTTTCTGTTTTTATTAATTACATTTTTAATAATTAAATGTCTAACCAAAAGTATTTAATACCAATAAAAACCCCTAAGATCTTATAGAACTGCCCTCGTGAATATCCAACTTCAATTGCTTTTGAGCAGTTTTTGCATAAATTGATTTTAATGCCCGCGGACAGTGTGCGAGATTGGAGCTGCAGTCGATTGAACCCGCGGCCTGATCCCCTCGCCGGGAAAGGATGAGCTCCGTTTAGCTCCCCGCCATGTGGCTCCTAATTAAGTCCAAGTCAGAGGCCAAGCCGGCAGAAAAACTGTGATCCCCAACGCCCACCTGGCAGCCGGCACTCCACTGGGAGGAGGTTCCTCCTCCGTCGCCAGGCGATGATCGGTGGGGGCCATGACCAAGGCAATCAACACGGCAAACAGACAGTCAGACCGACAACTAGACACAAAGTCGCATTGGATACACTTGGATCTACTTGAATCCACTCGGATTTTGGCTTGGCTTTGCTTGATTGACTGATCAACGGACTGAGGAAAAATAAATGGCAGAGGCGGCGAAGGCGAAGTCGAAGGCGACGACTGCGAATGCGGAGGCCTGATAAATTATTAGCTAAAACCAGACAAATCGCTTTCCATTTGAGCGGTTGCAAAGGCATGCGGAGCTATAAGCTCCCAGCTCTTAAACTCCCAAGCTTCCAACTCCCAGCTCCTCGACGTGAGGACATGCACTTGGCTCAAGCGGAAATGGCCACTCATGCATCTTGATCTCCTTCTAGCAATTGGCTTTTAATACGCTTGCCAGAAAGGCTATCGATTCGCTGGTCATGTAGGGGATTATTTCACAGCTAAGAACTTTAAAATCCTTGAAAAAATAGTTTTCTTTTTATTTATTTGTTACAGAAAATACTATTTTAATTTTTGATCCAGTGGAGAATATTTTAACAAGGTTATTCCTTTTAAAAGACATGTTTTAAACTATACTCCTCATAAAATACATGGATTTAAATAACCAACTGTTGTTAGGAATAGGGCTTCTGAAGATATACTATTTTACTTATATGCAGATTTTAATTGAATAAAGCAACAATTTGTATTCTATTTCATTTTTTGTAAATTACTTTGTAAATCTGAAAACAATTAAAAGACTATGCACTTCAGTAAAAAATGTAATCCTTAAATTTGTAATTAGAATTATTGAACCATAATTGTATATAACCAAGGTCCGCTTAGATATGATATTTAAGATTATGTTTTGCACATAATTTGATATCTATCCATAACAATCTACATTTTTGAATTAGAGGAACATTTGAGAAAACCCTTTAATATATCTATATTGTCAAAAAATGTTTGTGATATAAACTAACTTCCCGAAAACATTAAAGCGTATTTCCTGCGTCGATTAGCCCTTCCACTTAAATTCCATAATGGGTGGGCGCGCACTGCCTACACTGGCTGGGTGGATCACTTTACCCGGAGCCACTCCAATACCATACCATCCCACCCAATCGAGCACATGCATCTGGATCCCATTTATCCTTGCATAATTGCCTGCGACCACGAAACAATGTTGCCAGACGATTTTCACTTTCATTCGCATTAAAATGCCTCGCATGATTGCGTTCAAAATTGTTTGATCTCCTAATGCTGGCCATTAAAATAGTGCCCACTCTCCGCACCCAGGCACCCAATTATGTTGGCGAAACAAAATCAAAGTGCAAATCTTTCATATTTTTTCATTTCGCTGCGGTTGTTTGGTTGTTTTTCGTTGTTTGGATGTTGTTCGCTCACCAGTTGTCGCACCGGGCGTTAGACCAGCCCCATCCTGACTGCCATTCGTCTTCGTCTCCAAAGTCTGCGACTCCGACTTGGATGCGGTTGTTGATTGAGCCAAGACCTCGATCACATGGCCGGCGGCGGATCCGTGGAGCAGGAGGAGCTGCAGGAGGTGGAACAGGCCAAGTATCGTAACCAAATCGCGGCTCTTGTGGCGTTCACCAATCATCTTGTGGTTCGTTGATCGTCGGTCTCGGTGTTTTTTTCTTGTCGTCTTATCTGGAATTTTTGTTAAATTGTTCAGTTTCGGTTATGACTCGCTGATGATTTAATAGCCAACATCGATTGTGTCCGCCGAACTTGATCTGTGCAATTTCCCTGCCACCGCAATGGATTCTTAACTATTGGATAACGTGTAACGGACGTGAATGAGGAAGTTTTTGGCCGCCGTGTTGCATTTGGCTCACTTGACAGGTTGTTATCCAGATTGCTGGCCAGTTAATTTGGACCTGCTATTAAAATTCAGGTAGCCTTTTAGCTGTGATCATAAAATCATAAAACGGAATGCCAGTTTAATATACAACTAAAGAGTAAAGAAAATTAACCTTTCACTTGGATTGGTTTATTAATGAAAAGGTATTAAATTGTAAATTGATTTAACTAATCGGATTTTGACGAGACCTGTTGAGGAAATGATAATGGGGAGGATATTTAAAACGATCAGATAAATGGGACTTTATTAAAAAATACCAAACTCAAGTGAAGGAAAATGTACTGAAACAAAAGACTTAAGACACAAACTTAACGAACCAATTGGCTAACTCTTATTGGAGTGAGATATTAATGTCTAACAAGGAATATATGGAGACGATGAACCCGGAAAAATCGAAATATTTAAGACCAGGAAAATAAACTATTTGATAGTATTTAATATAAAAACTGAGTCTACATTGATACGTAGTTTTAAACGTACGAAAATACGTCTCACTTTTATCCATAAAATAAAAACATAAAATCAACAAATTTAGAAAAGAAATCAAAATTTTATCAAAATCAGTTTAGTAGGCCTAAAAAATGATAAGATACTTGGGAGCTTGAAAAATAAATAATATGATTATTATTAAAGTTTGTTAAAAAGCTCATTCATATTACAAATAAGTTACAGAAACAAAAGACTTCAGCAACAAACTTGAAAATTTGTGAGAGACAAGATATTTATTGTTAAACAGAGATTAAGAATTAAAAAGTTACTAAAATATAAGAGTTTAATCGTTAATTACATTAGAGCATTGATGGTACGAACGAAAAAGATACTTTAGTACAAGGTCAACAGAGGCCTTATAACACTTGCTTAGTTTTTTACTATATGCCTGGATTTATTTTATAAGGTCGTGGGGAGACAAATCTAACTTAATAAATAATTTAATGAAATGTTATGAAGCTGTAGAACAATTATTCTTCAGGTTACCATGACTTCAAAACATATACAGTCTGCTAGTCAAACATCAAGGATGTTTCATAGGTCCTTAACCTTCGGAGCTTTATCTAAGGATTTTTGTGCAATTTTTCTTTCCCATCACTTAAGCTTATAATAAAGTCTCGGTCTGATAAAAGAGTCTCATCCTGGGCAGCGACAACTTCACGGATCCCAGAGATTGATTCGATTAATTCATAATTTATGGCATTATGCGGCAGAGGGCAGACAGGCGACGTGACTGACCGGCCAGAAGACTTCCCGGGGACCGAAGACTGGAGAGTGGAGACTGCGGATGCAGACAACCTGGGTGGGCGGCGGCTCTTCTCTTTTGGCTTTCTTTCTTCTGCATTTCGGCCTCCCGAAGATGTGTCCCAAGGGCTTCTTATCATCATCTCCCTCCCCAGTTGCATGTCATCTTTGTCTCTTTTTTTTGTGTTTTGCGAATATTTTTTTTATATTTTCGGCTTGCGCTTGCCGGGCAATTCGTTCCCATCGAAAGTGAAACTTGTGCTTTTTGATCATAAAAGAAAATTTGCATTTATTTCGCAGCAGCTCCACGGGTTTCTTGTTGTTGCCGGCGTGCTTGCAACGCGCTCGGCGGCAATCGTAAAAATTAACTTGATTACTACACGCATAAATAAAGCCATTAAATGGCAAACATCTTGCTATAGCGGCAATTAAAATCAAATAAAATTCGCCGACGGCCAAGAAAAGTGGGATGGGTTTATATGATGATGGCCTTGCAATTGAATATAATTTGGTTCGGTCGACTTTTTGAATAAACCACAAACAATTTCCCCCTATAGCCACTAATGATGGACATAATTTTCCACCAATTTTCCTACAGAGTTTCCTGCATCAAAACTATTCAACTTTTATGAGGTAGGCCTAACTAGTTTGTTAACGCTCTCGTTTCGCGTGAGTTATTTAATTGTCTTTATTGTCTTACATCGCATTTGCATAATGCGTTTAATTACGCATCATTTCTGTGTTATTTCATTTTATTGGCTTTACATGACAAGTGAAATGTGTTGATGCTGAGTATTATGCGATTAACTGATAGGTAAATTAAAGGCATTTTATAAAGTGATTGGCTTAATTTAAGACTTTTTCTGATTCTATAAAATATTTAATTTTAAATATACAAAATGTGAAATAGTTAAGATATTTTATGCCACAAATGTGATTAAGGATTTTTTCTTGTTTAAAGAAAATTTTCACTTTTATTATAATCAAAGATGTTATTGATGGTCTGTAGTAAAAAATGTGGAATAATTAATACATTTAATGCTACAAGTAAACCAATTTGTCTGGATTAGGTATAACATTTCTTATCAGAAATATTAAATGCTTTTTATTTTAATACCATTTTAACAGCCGCAACTTTAAGTGGTCTCATAAAGTGCCAGTCGTTTTAAGTATTTCCATTTAGCAGGTTTAAAGATTTTGTATCAAATTGTCCTAGGCGCCAAGTCTTTACACCTGCCGCAATAAAACCAGGTCGATTTATTCCACAACTTTCGAGTAATTCACAGGCTTTCGACCCCTTTTGATGGCCACTGATCGCGGCAACCCACGCCGAATCAAAACCATATGGATGGCCCCCTATCATAAATGCATTCCAGGCACTTTCGATCGATGCATCTTAAAAGCCGGCACTCAGTCACTCAAAAGCTGCCCACAACATCAAACCCAAAAGGCTCCAGAGGAGCTGTATGATCCAAAAAAAAAAGATGTATAAAGAAAAACACTAAGATGCACTCGAAGCGACAGCTGTTAAGTGGACGGCTAAGCCAATGTGTTTTTACAAAAAAAAACGGCAGCTATAAAAAGCCGATGAGCAAGCAAACAGACCAATAAATAGACAAACAACCGAAGCAGAGACCAAATATCCATTCAAGTGCGCGACATTTTTTATGCCAGCAGCAATGGCAACCTGCAACTGGCAACCTGCAACCAGCAACACAAGAAACTGGCGCACTGAGATGCATACCAACATGGCAGCGTATTAGCCAAAGACAAATACTAATTGCAGCCAAAGCAACTGCCAACAGAAGCAGCTGCCACAGCGGCAACATTAGCAGCAGCATCAGCAGCAGCATCAGCAGCAGCATCAGCAACACCAGCAACATCAGCGCCATCAGCAACATCAACAGATGCATCAGCAATTGCAGCCTCGGCTTTTTGTTGCCGGCAGTTAATTTCATTTAAAGAATGTCATCTTCACTTTAAGTGAAAGATAAATGCATCGAGTGGCCCGGGAGTGCCTGGAAAATGAAGTGGCAGCCTGCCCTTTCTCTCTCCTTCATTCTGTACACACGGCGTATGAGTGATGCCTGTTTGTTTGGCTGCCGTTGGCACTAGCGCCGGCTTTAACTCCATTCAGCGTCTTAATTCTTTGCGCAAAGAGACGAAAACATTCGATTTCGCTGGCGAAGAAAGGTGGAATTTATGTGCTGCATCCGCAGTCGTGGATTATACCATTGAAAACCGAGAGTTGAGTTGAGTTGATTGATGGAAAATGCGTGAAAATGGTCGTGGACAATAGATCGTGATCAAGTGTCGAAAGTGCTAGATCTCGGTTTGATTTAGTATATAAAAGATTTATTTTAGTGGATAAATATCAACAATCTAAAATGTCCTTTAAGTGTTTTTAATTTACTACAGAATTTATTATTACAGTCTTGAATGTCTTGACATCTCCAAAAGTATTTCTTATCATTTAAAAAACCTTTCATTCCTTGGTGTTATTTATCAACCAATTGTAAAACCATTTGAAGTTTAGTAAACATAATCATCACTGATCAAACATGTTGTCCAGCGATCAATTTCAATAGTTAATGTGCACAAATCGCAATGAATAATCGAACATGATTTTCTCTGATCACACGTAGGCTTACATGATGTTTTACCATTCAAACATACAATCAATTCAAGTGGTCATTTGTTATGAGACTAAACGTTTTACAATCCTTATGGAACAGGGACGTTTATTTTAGTTATAGCATAAAGAAAAGAAACGGAAATGTTAAGTCCTGAAGCCTAATAAATTGTTATATATTAAGATCTCCTCAATAATGTTTTTAAAATCACTTCAATAATATTTTAGATCACTTAAATACTAGGTTCTTTTAAATATCTTATAAGTTAATAGCTCTACGTTTTATTCTTTCACTTTCACAAGCTTACACAATCTAAGCAGGATCTTACATCACCTTCTTTTTCCGGCCACTGGCACAGGAATAAATATCTCCACTATTTCGCGAGCAAATCGCTTTATAATCTGCTGTGTTTTTGTTAATCCTTTTCGGGCTGCGAATGTTTGCCAACTAATTTGCAGTCATTTCCTTGCCGACAATTGTCACAAATCAATAATCAAACACAAAGCCACTCGGCCAGACAGCGGGGCTGGCCAGAAGACATTTCATTTCATTCAGTAAATTTCACTTTTAAACGACCAACGCGACCGAGCGATGAAGATAGCAGCTCTTCGAGCTTCTGCCGCCGAAACCGACAGAAACAGACATTCGCACGGCCTCGGGTTTTGGGACAAAAACCAGGGATCTCGATCTTTATGGAAGAGCTTCAGGTTTTCCTCGCTTCGCTTCGATACGATACGATTCGATTCGATTCGCTTCTCTTCGCGCCGGTGCATCCAGCCAGTGTGCATCCGTTTCAAAACGCGTCCGTTTGTTAACTGATTTCGCGTGGTCTTGGCCAAAACTCAAATTCGAAACTGTTAAAGGCGGCAGCGCAGTCGACGCAGGCAGCGGGCAGCGGTCTTCGGCTGAGATTTTTCAGGTACAACGAACCAGCTGGAAAAAAAATATAAGCAGAGCCTGCACTTGTCTTCGTGGTGTTGCTGCCGTCGCAACGCTTTTGGCCAACGCTTTTGACCAAAGCCAACAGTCGAAGCCGCAGCGAATCCATAAACACACGCTCAGTCGGGGCTTCGTCACCAAAGTTGTCGCCTTTTCGCTTTTGTTGCTGCCTGTTTGGCGATGATTGTTGCCGCTGTCCAAAGCCAGACTCACTTTTCACTACCTGCAACATGTTGCTGCCACTGTTGGCCGAGAATTCTGATTGGGCTGGTCTTTTTTCTATTAATGCTATGTTAGCTAATAATCCTAAAGGAGGCCTATAAAGTCTGAGAAATTGGCATGTCTTGTAAGTTAGCAGGTTAAGTCTGGCCAAAGCCAGACTCACTTTTCCCCACCTGCAACATGTTGCTGTCATTGCTGGCTAAGAATTCTGATTGGGCTGTTTTTTTTTCTACGGGCTCTCAGTATGTGACTGCAATTTTAAAGGCCCAAAATGCATAAGTAATAACCAAGTGTTGAAAGTTAATTGTTTATGTTGCCGCTGTGCAATCTGCAACATGTTGCTGCCACTGCTGACCAAAATGTCCGATTGGGATGCTCTGTTTTCTATGGCTGCTAGGTATGGAAGTCATTATCATTATTCCTAGAAGGCTTTTAAAATTTTAGGCGACCGAAAAGTATAAGAAATATGCACGTGTTTCAAGTTACTAGGTTATTAAAAGGGCAGTATAGTCATATAATGTTTAACAGGGGTTTTTAAAATTGGTTAAACCTTCCGGCTGCCAAGAATATTGTGTTCTCCTCCCCCAAGCTCAGCTTTCGCTTTTCGCCTCCACCTGTTGCATAAAAACCGAAAATCTTTCGGCCAAATAAAATTTCTACTGGCGGCCAAGAAATCGTAAAAGATGTTAAAAGCTTTGGGCAGCAAAAACAATTGGCAATAGTCATGACATGACTGGCTGTCAATTGGCTTTGCTGTTGCTGCTGGGCGTGTGCGTAGTTGAGGCCAAGATGAGAGTAAGCCGACAGACATGCATACAAAAACTCGTCAGCCTGACATATGTAAAAGAAATAAAAAATCAATGAAAATAACAACAAGATTATGCTGTCTTTTGGCCACAGAGCCTCCCTTTGTCCCCCTTTTCTCCCCACCACGTTGAAGGTGTCAATTAAGGCGCAATGTTGCAGAAGCCTCGAACAAAAAACGTATGGCAAATCAAAAGACTCTGGCAACGAACTCGACGCATGACTTTCACAGCCCAGAATGGTGAAACATGCGAAATATATAAATATCTATGGTTACAGAATTTTAAATGCTGGCAATCATTCCACTTTCTTTTTGAGGTAAGGAACATTTTTTGAATAAATCTGCGGAATAAAAAAAAATGTAACTTCAATACATAAACACCACACAATAAAATGCTGCATAAGTAATTAATAAATTTATTTAAATCGATTTAAATTTTTTTTTTTATTTTGACAATTAGTAATTTCTGATTTGCATTTTAAAAACTGAATAAACAATTATTAAATCACTGCTAGATAATTAGTTTAAAAAGATTGGTTTAACTACTAACATCAAAACACATTTTATTTATTTTAATCAATTGTAGTTTAACACTTTAAGCTAAAACATTCAATAAAGGGTATAAAATAAATGCCAAAAAACAAATAACTATAAGAGTAATTCGTTTACTAATTAAAATCAATTCCCAATTTATTTATTTCGACCGTAATAAATAAATACTTTAAAATAAATCACTGCAAACCTAATTAGTTAACTATTAAATTCGAATCACATTTTATTTATTTCGACCACTTTTATGAGATGAAATCAATTCGGAGAAGGACCAAATCATCGCAAATCACTGCCCGGTAATTTGTTTTCCTCTGCTTTCCCCCTTCCCAAAACACCAAATGAATTTCCTCAGTCAGTTGGTCATTTGGCCGGGACTCGTTAACTTGTTTCTGTGGCCACTTGCAAGGCCATCGCGCCATCTCAAGTGCAGCTTTGGCCAAAACACCCCCGCCAGCAACTGGGAACCCCCTTAATTAGCGCATGTGTTGCATGCAACCAAAGTTGCATGTGGCCAAGTTGCTAGTTGCCAGTTGCCAGTTGCTAGTTGCCCGCTGCTATCTGGCAGCCCACTCAGCCGTGTAAATTGTATCAATAAATTTATTGATTTCAACTGTTGCCGCTGACTTGTTTAATATTTTGCGACGATTTATGTTGCAGGCATGCAAATTTTAGTATTTATTTGCTTTGTCGGTGCACCAGAGCAACCAGATGACCACATGCGGCACTGGCTTTAATGAACATGTCGTCTCCGCCGTGTCGTCGCTCTCGGGAAAGAGTCATCAAAAGACACACGCATGGCAAATTTGTGTGCTCCGGCTGTCAGCTCATGTCGCGCACCCCTTGCACAATAATCTCCTCCAGACATCACACTTTAAATAATAATATTATTAATAATACTATAACATATAAAAAACATTTTTAAAAATCACTTTACATATATCTTCCTATTTTGTGTGCAATAGATGGGTTAAAAACGAACCACTACAAATCTTCAGAAAGCAAGAAAGCTACAGGACTGACATTCTTTGATCAGGATCATTATTTTGTCTTCATTAGAAAGATACCAATATTAAAATCCTTTGAGTAATAAATGTGATTTAAAATATGAAATAAATTTATGTATTGAAGGAAAGGAAATAATAATTCCCCAACAATTTAAAAGATTCAAAAAAGCGTTTTCATTTAAGAGTTTATTTTTAGTTCTGTTGTTTGTACAACCGCCAAATTTAAAACATATAACAAAAAATCTTGAGAATGTAATATTAAACTTATAGTTTACCGATTTAGTAAAAGTGTGCATTAACATGGAATAAAAATTCACGGATAATATTTTTTTTTTTAAGAAGGAATGAAAGTTCCTATACAAAAGTTGTAAAAAAAACTTAAAATTGGTGCCTCTCATTATGAACAAAAAATCCTTTGGTTGGTAAAGTGGTTGTCTAAAGTAAGTAACCATTTTTTTTATAAAATTGTATTTATATTTCACCTTATATAAAATGGTATTCATCAGTGTGTTCAATCCAAATATCTAGAAATTTGTTTCTGTGCACCTCTGCGTCCTGGTCAAGCCCATGTAGTTTAATGACAGAAATTAGGCAACCTTTCACTGGCACATAATTTCACCCACAGAGACACTTCCGTCATCGGGCGAGAGTTGGTTTGTTTTCTTATTTTCTCATTTTCGATTTTTGGTTTTCAACCATTTTTTTTTGGGCCGTCTACAACACCCAAAGAACACTTTCGTTCATTGGCCAACCGAAAACGCGCCTCGCACATATATAATGTGTGTTTATCGCTTTGCATTTGGGGTTAGGGCAATTTCTACGGCCATCGACTTGCCACTTGTGCCGCCTGCCATGCATGCAAAATCAGGTGAAAAGCGCTGCCCGCGCAGACGTCGCCCGGTGCATTGCTAATTAGATAAACAAATTTTTAGTTTTTTGTTGGGTTCGGTGCCGCCATCCACACTCGAACACAGAAGCGGACACTCGCGCTGGACATTGTTGCACGCACTCGAGTTATTGAAAAGTGAAATACGCCGGGAAAGGTGGCAGCTTTGGGTGAGGAAAATACGAATGTCAAATGCTCTTCTACAAAAATAAATATTGCAAAACTTCTAGATAAATGATTACCTAAAAATTTCCGTTGCTCTGATCTCAATATTAAGCCAAACTCGGTTCAATCTAAAACTCTCAAAATCAAGATTATATTGCTCTTGAAAAACAGACTTCAAGACTTCTTTTCTCGTTTTTTTCCAAGATCGCTTCATCTTGGTCTTGATTTCAAGAACGTTTCTTCTCAAACAAGTGAAAAGACGAATTTTTAAATCGAGAAAATTGTATCTCAAAAGTTTGTCTACTCTTGATAATGTTTCTTGTCTTGATTTTAAGAACGATTTTTCTTAAATAAGTGAGAGAACATATTCTAAAATTGAGAAAATTTTATCTTGGAACTAATTTGCGGGTATTTCCATAAATGTTTCTACTAAAAATGGAAAAAAGTCAAAATATGTCATTATAATAGTAATGTAGCTATTTAAATAATTGAAATTAATAGAAACCCATCGATTTCTCCCTGCTGATAAAGTACAACACCTTGTCAAAGTGCGGCTACCCATTCGGCAGGTACTACAGTGATAAATGCTCAAACAGTCCAAAGCTTAGTTTCTAAAAAAGAAAGTGAAATTCGAATGCGGACAGAACGAAGCGCAAAGTGCGCGGCCCAGGCAGCTCCCAACTTGGCCAACTTGGCCAGGACCAGGCCAATGCGACAACAAAAAAAAAAGGAAAAAAATTATATATATAAATAAAAATCAAAGACAAAACCTGACTCTGAGCTGCAGCGAACGGCAGCGAGTCATTCACAAGTTGTGATGCTAAACATATATGACTAATTATGGAGGAACTGACGCACTAAACAGCGCCACATAATGCGCCCGTCGTCTCGGTTTCGACGTGGATGTGGCCACCGATGGCCCGGAGTCCGGACCGGTTTCCCGGCGGCCAAAACCAACACCACAGCCAAAACCAAAACCAACACCCGCAATTTCGCCAGTTCGTGGAAAAGCGCTCGATTGTATGAATGAAATGCGTTTTACGCGACAAAGTTGCCACCGATCGCCAATGGCATTGGTACACTTGACAAAAATATGGGATTGTGTATTTAAAATATTAAAAAAAAATCTTCTTTGAAAAATACCTATTCCATTTTTAGGATGTATGTTATGTTAAAACTATAGGAAATTTTAAAAGTTTGAAAAAAAAAGTCTAAACCTAAGATATGCATCATTTAAAAAGTAAATGCAATAAAACACAAGGAAATAACGCCAGTAAAATAAAGACAATTTCTTGAAATCTTGAATAGATATATAAAAAAAAGCCCTCATTAAAAATTATATAAGGTATGGTCGTTAATTCACTGGGCGTTATGGCATGCACCCTTACTTTAAAACTTTATTCAATGTAATTAACACTAAATATATATATTTTTTTTTACATCTGGAACTTAATAAAATAAATAATATTTAAGTTTTTAAATATATATATTTAGGAAGTATATTTTTCCAAATCCAGTTTTCTCTGTAAAATGCTAGTATTAACCGCTTTGCACCGCAGATCGTCCATCATCCATATCCAGGTCAGACGGCAGGCGGAGCAGATTTGGATTCGTTGGCGGCGATATTGGCGACCAAAACATGTGGCGATCCCGCCCCCGGCAGATTCACATCAATCGGTTTCCTCCCTCCTCCAAGGTCGACTTAAGGGCTGCGGTACCAAAAGCGGTACAAGGTTCAAAGGGTGAGTGGGCGGTGGATGAGGGACCAACGTTGCGGTGGGGAATCGCTCCGGTTAGCCTGATGGCGGATGACTTTGCCGCGGCGCTGAGTGTCCTGCCGGAGCAGCATCACCGCATCGTGTCCTGCGTGGCCGCCTACCAGTCGCACGCCCTCGCCTTCGCCGAACGCCACCATGTGGAGAACGTGTACACCAGCTTCGAGGATCTGGCCAAGTGCCCGAATGTGGGTAAGTTTCCATATAAATACTGCACAAAAAAAAACATTACCTCATTTTTTACCGAAACTTTGGGGCTAAAAGCGTATTAAACTAAGTATAAATAAATAAAATTAAAATGCATATTACCACATTTAAACTCAGCAAAAAACCGATCTCGATTGACTTCATCTAAAATTCATAAGATCGAGATGAACTGTTATCGGTTTGCAGGACTACTTTCTAAAAAAAACTAAATTGAGAGCACTTTCGTCTTGATATCAAGAGCGTTTCTTCTTAAAAATAAGAAAAGATGGAATTAAGGTTATTTTTTCCTGGCTTTTATTCCGTTTCACATATTTCTTGGTGTATTTGATTTTTAAATATTCACTTATCAGTTAACTTAATAATCACCCTCTTTATCACAGATGTTGTTTACATTTCGCCCTTAAATCCACAACATTCTGAGCTGTGTCATCTAATGCTGAACCACGACAAGCATGTCCTTTGTGAAAAACCACTGTGCATGACGGAGGAGCAGGTGACCAAGTTGCTGGAAAAAGCACGGGCGCGGGGTCTCTTCCTCATGGAAGGAATGTGGCCAAGATGCGTGCCCGCCTATCATTACCTGCGTCATCAAATCCTGCGGAACCGGCTGGGTGAACTGCAGAATGTCCGTTGCAGTCTTGGTCTGCCCGTTTCTCAAGGGTAAGGTTCTCATATCAAGCTTTGAAACTGAGGTATTTATAATTCTGAAGAATTGGCGGTCTTATTTTGTTAAATAATTATACATCTTCTATAATGGTCTACAAGAGTTATATACCGATCGATAAGTTACGGTATCAATTACGTTTTTAAATAATATTGACTCTAAATAACCCTCAGGAGACTGGGACTATACGGCGGAGTCACAAGCGATTTCGGGGTCTACGGAATGCAGTTGGCCTTGTGGGTGTTTCGGGAGGTGCCGCGTAGCCTCAAGGTCAGCGGAAGGGTCAACTCGGAGCACGTGGACGTGGCGGCAGACATCGAACTGTGTTTCACCCGAGGTAAGAGGGCCTTCATCGAGGTCAGTGCGGAAAAGAAGCTTAGCAACCAGGCGATTATACAGGGCAAGAATGGGACCATTAAAGTGAGTTAATATGGAATATCATATCTTGGTCCTTCAATATCGATCCTCCTTAGATGAACAACTATTGGTGTCCCACGCGTCTGATTACCGAAGAGGTGGACTTCGAGTTTCCGCTGCCAGGGGGCGATCAGATGCCCCCCACCCACTACCACAATCGACTAGGGATGTGCTACGAGGCCGAGGAGGTGAGGAACTGCATCCTGAAGGGCAGCAATGAGAGCGATGATTTTAGCCACAACGAAAGCCTCCTGCTGGCCAATCTAATGGACACCATTCATGCCGAACTGGGAGTTGGGGAATTTGCCGATCGCAAACAAATTCCCGATCTACAGCGACAGATCGAGAAGGTCCAGGATATAGTCGAGGATCCCGAGGAACTGGCCAGCGAGACCTGTCGGGTAGTGCAGGATGTGAGCAGCGCTGGAACCCTGGAAACCAAGCAGCAGGAGGAAGAAGCGCCGCCCAGGTCCAAGGCAATAGATGCCCCCTAGAATTTGAAGATACATATGTGAAACAGAACGTAACCGGATATTAGGATAACATATGCTTTTAAATAAAATCAGATAGTCAATAAAGAAATATTTAAAATTTTATTATTTAATTAATATTATTTTTTCTAGAACTTGAAATCTTCTATATTGCTAAGATCTAAGTTATATACAGATCGATAGGTTACGCGATCATCTTACGTTATTTACTTTATTTGAATTATAAAAAAGCTTACTAAAAGCTTGCTGCGTGGTTTGAGTCAAAGCTAAAAAATTTTAACTAAAACCTTTTCTTTTAATGAGGTGAATACTTTTGGCCTGGTGCTACTCACCGGCTTTGGTGAAATGTGTTTTTTAAATGCAAAGTATTTTTATCAAATATATATACACCAACAATGTACATAATTACAAATAATTATCAAACACAAATGCATATAGTTTTTGTGAAAAAATAAATGATCTCTATATAAGGAGGGAACACCTAGAGAACAGACAACAACAGACAAATTTCGTAAACAAATCGCGTCACATAAAATAATTTATGCAAAAAAGCAGTCGTAACCAAAGTCAGAGAGCATGAGAGTTGATATTTTTATAGATAATCGCTTTCAGAGAGAATGCGTTCCCCTACCAACCAACAAATGAAATGTTTGTTCTACCTCTGTTAACAGTTGTCACTGTTATTAACATGAAGTATTGCCCCTCAGCAAAAATGATATAATGCAGGCCATTGGCGTCACTTGAATGTAACTGGTATAATCGCTGATAACGGTAGTCTAATGATAAGATATTCGGCAGTTTATAATGATAATATGTTGGTTTTTGATAGGCGAATACCAAGTACAAATTAATTGTACATACCTTCTTACACCAGTATTGGATAGGATATTCTGATCACATTATACTATTTTTGAACAAAGATGGCACGTTTCTTAAATGAAGAACTCAATAACCACTCTCAAAATAAATTTTTAAATAATTATTTTACATTTTTTCAGGAGTATTTTCCTTTTAATTTAAATTTTTAAGATAAATAAAACATTGTAGATTTTTGTGATTAAATATTATTTTTATTTTTTCGTTTTGCCTTTAGTTTTCAATTTGTTACTAAGTATAAAATTCGCATAATCCTTTATATATCCTATCTACTGCTTCTTCACCTTCTTCTTTGGAGAATCCTTTTTCGATTTGGAGAACAATTTGCGCCACAAAAACTTCCACACGATCTTGTTGATGAGGAAGAGAATGTAGAGCACCAGAATGGCGAGGACATAGATGTCCAGGTTGTTGCTGGCGATAAAGTTCATGTGGACCAGAGGGCTCTGCATGTGGGGTGCACCATGATGACGGATCACGTATTCCGTCCAGTAGACCACCAATTCCTGGGCGCTCAGAGGACGATCGCGATACAGCTGCGAGAAGGTCTTCAGCTTCTGGGCGAACTTGGGATTCTCGATGACCTCCTTAATGGCCGCCTTGAACTCATCCAGATCCAGAGTGGCCAAAGGCAACTGTAGACCATATCCGCTCTGCACCAGTTTGTCGGCATTTCCCGGCTGATCGGCAAAGACGGGTAGAGCCAACATGGGAACTCCATGGTATTGGGCCTCCGCGACTCCACCTTTACCCGCATGGGTGATGAAAAGCTTGATCTTGGGATGGGCCAGGATATCATCCTGGGGCAGCCACTTCTTGTAGAGTATATTCGCCGATTTGCCGGGTGTGTTCTTTAAATCCTCCCATTTCCAGATCACCTGCTGCTTAAGGCTGCTCAGACCCTTGAAAATAGTGGACACTACTTGGGGCTGGATATGTTCACCCTTCAAATTGGAGCCCAAACTAAAGAGTATGGCTCCATGCTTGCCCTTCTCCAGGAACTCCTTGACATCCTCCGGCAGAGGATCAGGCTTGGTCTTCACCTGAATGCCTCCGATCTCGATTATACCAGGAACATTCGGACGAATTGGTCCCTCGCTGATGGCATGGCTATTGCAAAAGGCCAGTGAGACATTCCTTTTGGCCAGCTCAAAACTGGGCATTGACTTGTCCTTGCCCCAAAGTCGCCTAAAGGGTTAAGATAGGGGATTATCATATCATTCACTCGATCTATTGATAAGAACTCACTCATAGAACCCATTGTATTTGTAGTTCAGGAAGAGAGCAAGAGCATTGAAGCCCACAGTGCTGCCAAAGCTCTGCAAACGCTGCTTGAAATTCATGGGTTGTCCAGGCTTGCCTGCAACATTCATTTGCGGAACGCTGGAGAGCTCTGGATTGCCCAGAACCTCGTTGACCATCATCATGGGTGCTCCCGGCCAGGAAATAATTACGGGGCAATTGAACCGGGCCCCCAGAGCCACCTGATAGGTATTGAAGAAGAATCCAGCGAAGACCACGTCGAATTTGTTGCCCTTGTTGAGGTAGAGTTCCTGGAACTTTGGATCCTCCAGAACATCAACCTGCTTATCAATGAGCAAGGCCAGCGAGCTGAAGATGGATTTGAAGGTGTTCCAAATCGAGGGTTTCTCCTTAACCATATTGACCATTCCATCGTTTAGGACCTTCTCATCCTCGGCACTCAATGGGATCACAATGTGTTTGATGCTCTTGTGGGTCACTTTGGGTGGCATTGAGGAGACCACGGTCACGTTGTGACCCTTCTCGGCCAGCGTCTTCATGATGGACATGTGGACGATGAAGTGCGACGGACTGTGGCTGGTGAAGACGCCCAGGATGTTGGATCCTTCGGTGCCCTGGGGCATCGATTGCAGTGCCAGAAGGGCCACCAGAAGGCCACCCAAACTGCAGCCGAGCCAACTGCTCCTCCGAATTTGTGTCATGACTAGCTCCGTTCAAGTCCAAGTACAAAATGAAACTGATTGGGTTGCAAGCGGCCGGCAGCTATCTTATACACAGTTGATATCAGCGATAACGCACTGATAAGATTTCTTCGATCGTTTAATCTGCAAAAAATGTATATATTTATATTCAGTAGCATGATTTTCATAAAGAGTTTGCTAACTAGTTATTACGTGTACCTCAAGCAAAGTACACGTTGTCCATTATGTTTGAAGTCTATTTTTATCTTATTTTATTTTATTTTATCTTTTCAAACAGATTTATATTAAAAATATAGAAATATTATAAATGATAATAAGTTTTTAGGTTGATCTTCTGTCAATAAATCAAGTTTTCTCTATTTTTTTGTTGCACTTTAGACTTTGCTCATTCAAAATGACCACAGACAATAATTTAAAGATTGTTGAACTCAAGTAGGGTTAAAGTGCAATCTAATCCACATAAAAGTGGTCGCTTTGCGCAAAATTTGTTTATTCATTATTGTTAAACAAGGTTCTATTCACATATACATTACTTAGTGTTTTATTATAATGCATGTGCCCTATATTCTGTAATTGCTCACACCTTTTGTGTTTTAAGTAAATAGTCACCTTGTTATTAAGGCACATTTATTAGTCACTAGCAACCAGATAAATCCACCTTATACTTTAAAATAGACCAGAGTAAATATATCTTAAAATTGTCTGAACTGCATGTACATGGGTTAAAGTGCAACCTTGTCTCATTGTCAATGTCAACTTGTAGGTTAACTATTATTTCATTGAATTGGCACTATCCCCCGACGACTCCAACACAACAACTATAGATATTCGAAATACCTCGTCTATATAGAGACACCCAAGTGAGCCATTAAATAATATAAAACAGATTTGGAAAACAATACGCGTTCGGCACGCGCTGCCTCGGATAACTGAGAATAACTGAGAATTGAATCCGAACAGAATCGGAATCGGTATGACCCGATGGGATAGAATAGTTCTCGAGAAGTGAGAATTACTGAGCGGGAGGCCTCTAAAAATAATCGCTGTTGGAGAGTGTGGGAGCAACCTGTTGAGTGCGGCGAGTGTTGTTCTAGGTCTAGGAATCTTTGTTGCTATTTCGTTAATTGCCGGGTTGTTAAAGGTGCATGACATCAGTATAATTAAATTATCTGCGTAAAGTGCAGGTCTCTGGGGGCACTTGAGTTTTATTGCAGATAGAAAGTGTTTAAGATTCTTAGGCTATTATATTAATAAGCATTACTGTGCATTTTGTGCCCTACTAAGCCATAATCCGCTCCTGGTCAAAACTGATTTAAGATTGTGCTACACCAAAAAAAGGAAACGATTTATTTCAAGACCCCCAGTGTTAATCTTACCCTACATATATACATATACAGTGGCTTAGTCTGAATTTTATTCAGAGGGGCTTTTTAAAGACATTTTGTATAGCATACTTTTCGACACAACACTCTACGTGGGATTTCACCTGAAAGGAGGGAGGTTGAACCCCCAAGATCTTCATCTTGGCTACGCCCCTGTAATGCCTTTTTTATGTGCAGTCATGCTTTCCGGCAAAGCTTTAATCTCTACACTCAAAAAAAAAATCACCATAAATATTAGAAAATCGCCCGTGATTTCAAAACGCCATTGAATTAAGAAATATTTTCTTGATTATAGAAAAAATGCCTACAATTTAAGGAATTCGCCATAATTTTTTTTTTTTTTTTGTAATGAAGAAGAGGAAGAATCCCACTTTTTCTTCAATTAATGGCGAATTTTTCTTGATTTTTTTTCTTGAAATAATGGTAAATTCTTACTTAAATTTAGGAAAGAAATACCCATATTTTAAGAGAAAGTGACTTTTTTTATACATTTTGATGGTGGTCTAGCTGGTAAAGACGTCCGGTCAATAAACAATCGAACAAAAGTACCTGGTTCGAGCCCACGCCACGGCAAGTCTACCCTTTGTTTATTTATTTTTCTTTTTTTTTTTAATTTATGTAATTTTTATTCTTATTAGTTTCACTTTTCTATTTACCAAATTGTTTAAACGGTTGTTAAAAAGGTTTAGATTAGAATAAAAGTTATTTGTATGCGTAAAGCTGGACCAAAAGCACCTTAGCCCTCTTTAGTCATTGTATGACAAGAAGCACGCGTGGCCGAATGGTTAAGACGTCTGGCTATGGTGTGTGAGCAGTTGCGGGTTCGAGTTCACGCCGGGGTTGTCTGAGGTAAGGATTTTTCCATTTGTTATATTTATTTATATGTTTATAAAAAGTATTTATATAAAATAAATTTTTAATAAATTCAGGTAAATATAAAAATTTTCAGACTGTAGTAATAATTGCCATTAAAATTAGAAACGGTTTTATCCATTTAAAATTCAACATTGGTATACAAAACCAACCAAATTCCTCAAATGTAAGGTGTAAAATGTAAAATGATGTAATCTTACATCATAAATATTTTTTTTCTTATTTTAATACATTTTTCCTTAATTTTAAGGTTTTTTACCATACATTTAAGAAAAATTTGTCATTATTTCCAGAAATAGCAAACCATAAATTCAAGAAAATTATTTATTTAAAATAAAGGTGAGTCGCCGTTGGATGAAAATCATAGGCGATTTTCTTGATTTAAAGGCGAATTTCTTGATTTAAGGGCGATTTTTTTTTTGGGTGTAGTACTCTTTATCAGTGTTGCTTCTTATAAAAAGTATAAAAGAAAACCAATATCATTTGTATTTATTAATGTTAATTCATTAATCTGTATTCTTAAAAACAGAATATAATACTTGATCACTGACCCCACAGCAAGACTTTTGTGCAATTTCGCATTTCATAGCGCCAACTGATATTACGTATTCGCAATGATAAGATGGCATAACGATTAATTATTTTTAAACTTGACAGGCAGTGTTTTCCCTTGATAACTATAGCCACGCACAACATTAAAAATCTTGCGAAATAGGAATTTAAATATGACTATGAGTAGTATCAAGAGTACCAGACTCACGAGAAGAATAACTCCAAAGACATCTATATTGTTTCGGGCTATAAAGTCCATGTGGATGAGGGGACTCTGTAGATGATAGGCTCCCTGGTGACGCAACACGTACTCGGTCCAGTAGACAACCGATTGACGGGCTGTCAAAGGTCGATCCCTATAGAGGGTGGAGAATTTACCGATGGTCTCTCGATACGATGGGTTCTCAAGGACCTCATGGATATTCTCCTCCAGTTCCTTCGCCGTCAGTGTGTGCATATCCAACCAACGACCAAAACCTGATTTTGTCATGATCTCAGCATTTCCCTGTTGATCGCCGAAAATGGGCAATGCCAGCATGGGAACCCCATGGTATTGGGCCTCCGCTACTCCACCTTTCCCCGCATGGGTTATGAATAGTCTGGTCTTCGGATGAGCCAGGATATCATCCTGCGGCAACCAATTGCTAAAGTATATATTAGAGGCATTTCCTGGCTTATTATTCAGATCCTCCCACTTCCACACAACTCTCTGGGGCAATTGGGAGAGCACACTGTACAGGATGTTTGCGATTTCCGGTCCAAAGTTATTGGAATTTACATTGGTACCCAAGCTGAAGAATATGACACCCTCATCAGCGTCATCAAGGAACTTGGCCAGCTCCTTGGGCAGCGGATCAGGCTGCTCCTTAACCTGTATTCCTCCAATTTCAATCGATTGAGGAACTGTGGGCCTGATGGGTCCTTCGCTGGGCGAATGGTAATTGTAGAACAGCAAGGATATGCGACGCTTCATTTCATAGTAATTGGGGAATTCAGGATCTGTCTCATTGGCAAAAGCTTTCCTAAAAGAGGACAAAAATATAATATTGATTTAAATTCATAATATAACATAACCACTAATACTTACTCATACATCTGGTTCATCTTAAAATTCAATAGTTTATTGACTATGTCCAGGAAGGAATGCTTGAAAAGGTTACCCAATCTTTGGGTAAATTTCATGGTGTTTTGTCCCGCTTCAAGAGCCACATTCAAGCTAGGCACATAAGATGGATCATTGACATTTCCCACAATACTATCCATAAAAGGCAGGGGCACGCCCACCCAAGTTATAATCACCGGACAGTGAAGCTTGGCGGCAATGCCAAGCTGAAAGTCGTTGGCCATCGGGCCCAAAACTACCAAATCGAATTTCGTTTTGGGATTCTCGTACAGCTCCTTGAAATTCGGATGAACCATGAACTCAATCTGTCCTTCCAACTGTACATTTACCTGAAGAACAGCTTTCATCAAAGTAGTCCATATAGAAGGTTTATCATTGAATGTTTGTTTCATATATTCCTCCATGAACTTTTTTCGCTCCAGTGTCGGTGGTGCCACAATCACTGTGATATTTTCATGTGCCGCCAATTTGGGCTTCATCTGGGTCACCACTGTGATGTTGTGACCCCCATCCGCAAGCGTTTTCATCACAGCCATATGAACGATCACATGGGAAGGACTGTGGGTTCCAAAAATTCCTAAAATATTAGCTCCATCACTACTCTGGGTTTCCGTGCCCAGAAGTAATATAAGCAAAAACACGATCGTAGTACATTTAATCATAGTAAATGAACTTTTCAATGGAACTCACAACAAACGACTAAGTTTCGATCTGTCTAGCGTGATAGCTTATATAGAACTGTGCCACAGATGTCGTCAGCAACAATCTGAATTGATACAGGTTTCATTTCTTTAGCTGCGCCGGGGTGACTGGGCATATCAGGGAATTCTGAATAGGGTCTGTACTACCGGGCAAGACTATCGCAATAGATTTATCGTTATCGCTAGGGTCTAACAACGTATCGCGTGTCTGCGACCTGAGTCATGATTAAATGCTTTAAATTGAAATAAACTGCAAACTTATTAACAATCAAAGTCGTGTCATATGCTATCATGTTTGTTGCGTTGTTTGATGGCCTATATTTTTATGTAATAAGCCAGATGGTGGTTTTATATGATTGTTGATAGAAAAATATTAGAAATAAACGTACATAGTTTTATTTCGATTGCTGAACATATCCTACTATGTCCTTTCAATAGTTGTTACCCAAACAGATTTAATTACTAACCTTACTGTACCTGTACTAAAATAAAGGTTTGTAAGGTTAAATCTCTTTTAAAGTGATTTAAAAGCATTTAATATTATTATAATAATAACCACCATTGGGATCCCAAAACAATATTACTAGGCCGTTATAACTATTGATACCACATATCATGCGAAGATAAGGTTGGTAGTTAGCAATCGGAAATTATGGAAAATTTCGCACAAAGGCAAATAAATGAATGAAATAAATATTTTATAATATTTTGTGATTTTATTAAAATATACAATTTTCTTATTAATAATACATAAACAGTTCTTATTACTTAATTTATTTTATTGCTTCTTTTTTGACTCTGAGATCTTTCCCTTGCCCCGAAATTTATTCCACACGAATTTTGCGACCAAACGAGTTAGGAGTACAAACAAGACCAGGATTGTTGCAATTACAAGGTAGATATCAAGATTGTGGAGCTCAATGAAGTTCATATGTACCGATGGACTCTGCAGGTGGGGGGCACCATGGTGTCTCAGGACATACTCCGCCCAGTAAACCACCGATTGTTTTGCAGTGAGAGGTCGATCTCTGTACAAGGCGGAGAACTTTCCAATGGCTTGGCTGTACTTCTTGTTCTCCAAAACTTCCTTAAGGGCCTCCCTCAGCGTATCCTCGGTAATGGTCAGCAGATCGAGAGCTAGGCCATATCCCGATTTTTCCATGACTGCGGCGTTTCCGGGCTGATCCCCAAAAATAGGCAAGGCCACCATGGGTACTCCATGGTACTGGGCCTCGGTGATGCCACCTTTTCCGGCATGTGTGATAAAGAGTTTGGTGTTCGGATGGGCCAGGATATCATCTTGGGGTAGCCAGTTTTTATAAAGTATGTTGGATGCATTGCCAGGTGTGTTCTCCAAATCCTCCCATTTCCAGATTACGTTCTCTTTCAGTCCCGATAGGACCTTAAAGATGGTCTGCACAATTTCTGGCTTCACTGTTGAGCTTTTAATGTTGGAGCCGAGGGATAGAAAGACAGCTCCTTGGGTGGACTTGTTTAAGAACTGATCGATCTCCTTGGGCAGTGGATCCGGCTTGTCCTTCACCTGTATACCTCCGATTTCAATAATAGCAGGCACCAGCGGTCGAATAGGACCCTCAGCAATCAAACGGGATCCGACGAAGGCCAACGAGATGTTCTTTCTCAACTCTTTCAGAGTTGGTTGATCTTTTTCCGGGAAGACTTCATTATATATGCGATTTAACTTGTAATCAAAGACAACCAGAATATACTCGAAAAACAGGAATTTAGCTAAGTTTTCCGCTCTCTTAAAGAAACTCAATGGATGTGTTCCAACAGTGCCTAACAAGGGCACATATGATACCTCTGCGGGATTACCGGTAAATTGATCAATTATGGGAACAGGGGCTGACATCCAGTCAATGATTACGGGAACCTTTAGCTTATGGGCAACTCCCAATTGGAAGTCGTTGATAAAGTAACCCAATATCATGAGATCAAATTTGGTCTCGTAAATACGCTGGAACCTCGGATCGGAGAGCAGTTCGGCCTGAGCATTGATCATCACTTCCATGCCAGTTAGAAGTCGATTCATGGTGCTCACGAGAGAATTCTTCTGGCCGGCCATTTCGGTCATTTGATTCTCCATGATGAGCTCCTGGTCATCCTTCATCGGGATCACAATCAGATGGATGTCCTTGTGCGTCACCTTGGGCTTCAGCATCGACACCACCGTCACATTGTGGCCAGCTTCGACCAGGGCCTTGGCCACCGACATGTGGATGATCAGATGCGATTGACTGTGGCTGCTGAAGAGCCCCAGAATGTTGGCTCCCTGGGTAGAAGCCACCACACCGAGTAACAACAAAAGCACGGAGCGAACCTCAAACATTTTATAAACTTTTTGCCTGACCTCTCCGGTCAATGTCGAACTAAAAACTGAAGAGAACTGGGCATGCGACTAGCTATTTATGGGCAAAAAATTCGAGTTGGTAGTCATCTAATTGGCTTATCGACTCCCTTCAATTCCAAACGATACTCTTATCTTATCTCTCTTAAAGGTCTGACTAGACTCTTTCCTTTTACTTGAGGTGCTAAGCTGCCCATTATATGATAAAGTACTTTGAAAGGGCGCTCTAAACTATAATATCTTCGAATTTAAAGAGATTTAGTACAAGCATTTCGAGAAATACAAATTTTACAGTGAACAATACAATAGGATTTAAATATATTTATCCTTGTATTGAATTTCACAACTTTAATTGTTTTTGCAATTCATAATGAACCAGGCATACAGTTCCATTATGAACTCTCTTCGATTTCGATAGATACTCTTATCTAGGTGCTCTTTAAAGCTTAAATCGACTCTTTCCATTTGTAAACCTGCTATCGGAGTACTTAATAAAATATCTTTGACAACAAATTTGACGCTTTTTAAGAGTTCAAGGTCAAATTTATTTTAATATTAATATATTCATTTATATTTTTTCACAATCTTAACTAATTTTTCACTTCACAATATAACCATGTGTATTACACATAAAAAATTGTTTCAAATTATTTGTAGGTTTTTTATTTTCACTTTTAGCTTCCCTTTAAATAAACACAAAATAAGAGGCATAACATCGTACTTATAATAACATAGACATAGCCCAACAAATATTAAAAACATCAAAATGTGGTTCTTAATTATATTAAATAACCTTATATTATTTTTATATAAGCTCAATATATTTTTGATATCTAAGAATTCCGAAAAACATACAAATACATTTTCTAATCGACTTGTGCTCAATACTTATATTTGCATTGTCACGATGATTCAGCAAAACACATTTCCATATCACCATTTGACGCAGTCTACAATTTATGGGGGTTTACTCAAACAGAACTATCACTTTAACTTAACACCAGCTGAACTCCCACCTTAAAAAAGTAACTCAATTAACTTAAAGTAATTAAATAATGCAAGAAATGTTGGTGGGCCGTAAAAAAATTAAATATGGTTTTTTTAGGTATCATAACAAACACCATAAAAAAGCGGAAATGCTCGAAGAGCTTTTAACTTCATTAACTAAAACTGAAAGAGAGTCGAGCAAAACTGTTTGATAAGAGCACAAATTGCTTTGATAGTTAAACAAAACATATTATAAGAGAAAATGTAAAAAATAATTAAGCACAATTAATTTTACTTGTATGGCTTATTCTTACCCTAAGTCCTCCCTGTTTACAAAACAACATTTTCCCCCCCATATACCATAGTTTTCATAGTTAACACAATTCCATTCTACTTCAGCTTTTTACTACCCGGTGGTAGAGGATTCTTTTTGATCCTCAGCAATTGCTGATTTTGTCCCTTGATGTGACCCCAATGATTGATCTCCCTAAGTTCCACATCAAACTCTTTCATAGTTTTCCTTAACTCAGGATAGAGTTGCTTGAGCACTCCATGATCGAGTGTGGGAAATAGATGGTGCAGGGCGTGCTCTCCAAAGTGGGTGAGCACTAAGAGATCTGACCACTTGATATCTCCACGATCTATGATCGTATCCACCTGATACAGACCCCAATCAATGTCCTTACGTTGGGTGTCTCCATCGTGTAGAATTCGAGGATCATGATGGGCTGCTGTGAGGCCCACAAGTCCAAAAATAAAGCTCCCCACGGCTACAATTATTTGCCAGCTAGCAAGAGTGGCAAGCAGACCAACGCCAGTGGAGAAATATAAAAAGATTGGTAGTGTAAAACCTATGAGATCATCCCAGTGCAAAAGGTTGCTTTTAGTCAGGGAGAGAGCCAACCTAAAAAAAATATATATATTAATTAATAATATAAATAAAATACCTATTTAGTTCACTCACCGCAGGAGAAACTGTCCCTGAAACAGTACTACATACACCACTGGTGATATAACCACAGAGATCCATCGTTGCATTTTATTTGCATAATGACGATCGGGAATCCAGCACAGGAATGGCTCAAACATAGACATTTCCAGATCATGCAGCGAATTCGCATAAACATGGTGTGATAGGGCGTGAGAAATGCGCCAACTCCGGAAGTTCATTAAGGTTAGATTAAAGGTATACATCCTCCAATTATCCCGCTGATGGAAGTAATTGTGTGTGGAGGTGGCCACCCAGCAAAGAGCCAAACCAGCAAGACCCTGAAAGACCAAAGAGTCCAGGACTGTGCCTACCCAGCTGAAGATGAAGACAGAAACTAGGATACCCAAGTGAAGAAACTGAAAGATTTAAGAAAACTAAATTAGTCATAAGGAAAAGCCGTTTTTTATCAGCTATGAGAACATTTTAAAAACAACAACCAAAACGGTTGTTGTACGTATACTATTTTACATTTATATAATCCCCTAACATCTTTACAAACAAAATCTTAGGAAAAATTAAAGAAGAATACGGATCCCCCTAAAAAAGTTCAGTAAGTTCTAGGGAAAACGGATTATATCCACTGAAGATTATTTAAATTTCCACCTATACCATATTGATAACTCGAATAAAATACATTATAACATAAAATTTAAAAAAGCTTTAAAAATAGTTTACCCATATAAGAATATAAAAATTAGTAATAAATCAGTAAATTCTAGACTCTTAAAAACTAATCAATACCTCAGTTTTCTTAGTTGGGGAGTACTCGATTTTTCGTAGTTTTTCCCGTACCCTCCGCTTTAGCGTCATGTAAAAACCATTTTCTTTGAGGGTGAACTTATAGTTCCTAGGCTTCGAGGCCTGACGCACTTCGAATTTGGTCAGCATTTCCCGAGCTCGCTCTTCAATATGATGAGATTCGAAGGGTTCCGTGATATCCGTGCCCCGGGTGCACTCAATCCAAGAGGCACCGCCCGGATGGCGAGCAGCAAAGTCGCTTAAGTCATAGAGCTTATCGTAAATGCGCCAAAGACCTTCGGCCTCGTCATCTGCATGTTTGCCCTCTAGCCAGCTAAGCAAGATAAAATTATAATATCTCATCATTTGAGTTTTTTGTGGAAAGACTTTCAAAACCACTAGATACAAACCTTTCACTTGTAATGGGTACATGCTGGCGGTAACTCGGATAGGTCCTCGATATTCCCGATACCTTCCAGGCCACATCCTCTTCAAGATTGGGCGCCATTATGCACACAGCTGGTTAATAGATCTACAAGAATAAAATGAGTAAAATTTAACCGAAGAAAGTACTTTGCATGCTAATGCCTAATCGTGGCTGATAACTGGCTGATTGATTCCCAAGTTCAACTTAGTACTCACCGAAGAACCGGTCGTTCGGTGCCCCCTAGATGAAGACAAACCGCAGAGTTTGTTTACGTAGCGCCTACTAAACTTTTATTTGGAGCGTCGCTCGGCTTTTGTCTTCGTATTACGCTTGCTCGATCAATTAGTAAAGCTCGGATCCGAGAGTATCGAAGATCGAAAGCTTTCCGCTCACTACCTCTCACTTCTTATCATGGGTCGGTTGGAAATGAAATATTATGTAAATGGTATTCAGTGCAAACTTATTTTCTCTGCTAGTCTAAAATAAGGTTTAATGGACAAAGGTTAATGGAGTAAATAAGATTCTACCTAAAGAAAATCTAAGTTTTAACTAATCTTTAATACCCTAAAATCCCTTATATGTCTTACATAGATTTTAAAGAATTACTTGACTTTAATATTATTAATTAAACCAATATTGTATGTTGCTTATTTTATACAGCATATTTTATGGGATATTCACAAGAATAGAGTACCCCTAACAAATGTTATAGCTGCTACACCCTCTTCAGCCACGCGAAGCCTCAAATTTCTGCGATGGTATAGCAATGTTTATGGGCACCGCACTGACCTATTGTCGACGAATTCTGGGCAGACATGCCCACTAGGTGATTTCCCCTAGTGAAATTCTGATAAGGAAAAAATGTTTAAAAAAAATATAAGATTTAGATAGACGTAATAGCTAAGAGGCGGCAGCTGTGGACCCACGGTGCTCCGCTGATAAGGTCGCTCTCTTATCAAAATGGAAACGTTTTGCCTGTGAAATGGAATTGATTTTCGGTTTATATAACCTTATGAGATTGGCGCTATGCATAAAATCCTCTTGCCATTGCCGGTGCCTTTCAGTTAGTAGCTGGAATCGCAGCGTGTCGGTTCCAGAATCGGTAAATCGGTGTTTTTCAAGGACCTCAAGGATCAAAAGGACTCTTCAAAATGGTAATTGAGGAGTGGAAAAAGAGTGGCATTGCCACCAAATTTCCCACATACCGCAACTCGCCCTTGATCACCACACATAGCTGGCAGAAGGGCAAACGGCAGGACGATCGGGCCGAAGGACTCTGGCGCATCTACGATGGCATCTATGACTTCACCGAGTTCATTGACAAGCATCCTGGCGGTCCTTTCTGGATCCGCGAAACCAAGGGCACCGACATAACCGAAGCCTTCGAGGCGCATCATCTTACGACGGCTCCCGAGAAGATGATTGCCAAATACAAAGTTAGGGATGCAGCAGAGCCAAGGATCTACACCCTGACTTTGGAGGAAGGGGGATTCTACAAGACCCTCAAGGAGCGAGTGCGCGAAAAGCTGAAGACCGTGGACAAGCGGCCAAAACGAAAGAGTGATGTGAGTGCTGAAACTGTAAAATAATTAATAGAAAATGGGCGTGAATACTAGTTCATATCAATTATATATTTCTAATCAATTAAATATACTGATTAGGTGAGCTTCTCGAGTCCCACGAAGTTTATTAGAAATTGAATCAAAAAATACTAATCTTTAATTTCACGTGTCGCAGTTCCTTTTAAAGCAGCATGACGATGATAGGTCCTTTCTTTGGATAAAATATAAAAAGAAAAGATTAAAAAAAAAAATTTTTTTTATTAAATGTTTTTTTAAAATTTTGAATATCCTTTTAATCTTTTTGCTTTCCATAGCTCATCCACTTCGGCGTCCTTGTGTCGCTCTTCATTTTCGGAATTGCCAGTGCCAAGTTTGATAGCCTTCTGGCCCTAATCCTGGCGGGTGTGGCCCTCTGCTGGACGGTGATCGTGTCCCACAACTACTTCCATCGTCGGGACAACTGGCAGATGTACGCCTTCAACCTGGGTCTGATGAACTTCGCCGCCTGGCGAGTGTCCCATGCCCTGTCCCACCACATCTATCCCAATTCCTATTTCGATCTGGAGCTCTCGATGTTCGAGCCGCTGCTGTGCTGGGTGCCCAATCCACATATCAAGAGCAAGTTGATGCGCTACGTGTCCTGGGTCACCGAACCGGTGGCCTATGCCCTGGCCTTCTTCATACAGATGGGCACACGGTAAGTGATCGTGATCGAGGTGGTGGCGATCGTAAACAAAGTCTAATCAGTGATCATTTTGATTGATTGATATGGTTATTGCAGTATTTTCTACTCGCTGCGCCACACGAACATCCTCTACTGGCACGATCTGGTGCCGCTGAGTATACCCATCGCTATATACCTGGGAACTGGAGGATCTGCGGGTGTTTGGATTTGCGTGCGCACATGGCTCGCGATGACGTCGATCGCCAGCTTTAGCTTCTGTCTGATCGGTCTGAATGCGGCCCATCACGATCCGGAAATCTATCACGAGGGCGATGCTAATCGCGAGGATCGCGACTGGGGTCTCTTCCAAGTAGACACAATCATTGATCGCGGTGATCTCAAGTGGTCACAGTTCCTAGTGCTCACCCACTTTGGTGATCATGTGCTCCATCATCTCTTCCCCACGCTGGATCATGGCCTCCTGCCCGCTCTCTATCCGGTGCTGTACGAGACTCTCGACGAGTTCAAGGGTCATCTGCGCGAATGCAACCACATTGAGCACATGATCGGCCAGCACAAGCAACTTCTGCGCATCGAGCCCAATCCCAGGCCTCCTGGGGCGGGAAAGTAGGATTACTTTGTATGGGGCTTCATTAAAAATAAATAAATATATTCACATAATCTTAATAGTAACCATATTCCGAGTGTTTTCATTTTGGAAACGTGTTTTATAGTTATGAATAGAAAGTGTAGCAGATAAGGTAATTCTTATCTGTTTCTAATTTTCTCTCGGTTAGATCACAACGTGGAACAACAAATTTAGAAGAAATATTTTATTAATAGCATTATGAAACGTATACTGTGCGTGTCGGCAGAGCGCAGGCAGATAAAAAATTGTATCCAATGGAGTATGGTCGCTGCTTCAGCTGGTGATCACTATACCCATTTTATCAGAGAGAATAAAACACACTTGTTAAATTGATTTACATTTATTTTGTTCCTTTTTTGTATACTTTTCATTTAGTGTCGAGTGATGATCTTATCTCTTTATCATTGCTTGATAGAGTCAAAATTAAACATAAACATAAGCGCAGTGCATTTAGCTTGTGTCGTCCGTAAGTCTTGTCTGGTCTGTATGACAAAAGTAATTGAGAATACATATAGATCAAAATATTCGAACAGTGGGCGACATTTACCGGCGGACACCGCCGCGGGGCCTTCACTTTGACGGGGCTCTCTCATTTCGCGATCGATAGTTTCTCGAGTTGTTCGGTTGAGGATCGATTTGGTTCTTTGATAGTTAGTTGGTTGAATGCATTTCGAAAGTTGTATAAAAATATATAAATACAAATACAAATACAGGTCCAGCTAGCAGTGTCCCCATGGCAAATGTCGCGCTTACACAAAAGCCTGTTACTGTTCACTTATGTATGTAATCGATTCTGTGATCGATAGTTGTTATTTGATTTCATTTTTTGCCTAAGTGCATTTGGCGTTGTTGTTGGTGGTTTGCCTCCCGTCGTTTTCGATATATATTTTGTTATAGTTTTATTATTTTGTTTTTAAATTAAGAAATTAAATTAAAATCATAAACATAATCATTATGAAATATCATTTAAAATAAATTAAAAAATGAAATGGCATTTAGAATTCGTTTTCAGGAGCAAGGTCGAATCTTGGTGGGAAGGCCAATCCGTCGAATTGTGGCCTAACGGACGTCGCACGGGGCTGTAGAAGAGAGATAAACAAATTGTAATAAGGATTAGTTAAGGAAGAAATACCATATTAAAACATGCCGGGGAATGGGACTAGTCGCCCGGTTGGATCGACTGCACAAGGATTGAACGATAACGAGAACGCCTAGCACTCACTGAGCACGTTTCGTAGTGCCAGCGGGTGCAGGGATGAAGAATAACTGTAACCAGGTACGAAGTGAGCTTAAGTAGTTGCTCTTCGAGAGAGGGTATGTCTTATTGGGGGAACGAGTGTCGTATGAGAGAGGAGCGAGAACGCTTGACGAGTACGAGAACGAGACGACAAAACGTAACGAATGAGTTTGACTAACGACAACGAACGAACGAGTGAGCGAGACATCGAGATGAGCTGCGGTTGACTGACTGACGTGTGTGTGAGGGAGTGGTTGGGAAGAGTTCCGACACAACAAGAACGGGTCAAGACGTGCACGAACACGTCCACTTACAAATGTTTCAGAAAAGTTTCTACTGCTCCAGCAGCGCGCTCTTGCGGCCCTTTGACGCTGTCGGCTGCAGTACACATGTACAAATACAGTTTATAATAATATAGTGGAAGAATAGTATTGATTTTTTTAAATGGTGGTAGAGAAAGCAGATCGATTGATTTAGCCTGGTGCTGCTGTTGGTTGCTTGCTTGTTTATTTGTAATTCTTTTTTTTTTTTGCTTTTCGTTTGGTTTTCTGTCAAAATGAACGCATTCTTGGTTGGTATTCGATGAATTTGATCCATTGATTTCTGATTTGGGTGGCTTCTAATTTTTACATTTTTTTCTGCTAGTGAATGTCGTATGATGCAACTATATTATTGTTATTAGTATTTATTTTATAATAATTCTTATAAGCTATAATTCTCTTTGCATGGTTTTTGTTCTCTCATTATCGTAAATGAACCATAATTGGATCGCTATATAGATTTTTTTTTCACTTGGTGTTGCCTCAGATTTAGATCTGTATTCGTGAGAAGAAGCAGAGCATACGCGCGCAATATGAAAGGGAAGAATATACAAATTATTCATAGACTGATCTGATCTAGAGAGAACGTGAATGATTATGAGCGCTATTGCAGCCAAATGAGGGCTCAGAGGTGTTTCGATTGAGAAATATTTAAGGGGATTTGATATTTTCTTTTCTCAAGAAGGGGAATCATAAGGTCTAGAGAGGATAGGGGTATGATGATGAAGGGCATTGAGAGTTCTAGCTGAAACTTACCGCTGGGCTGGCACCACGACCGACAGAACCGGCACGTCCCTTGGCGCGGAATTTGCTGATGGCCTGCTCGGCCAGATCGGCACGCTCCTCGGCCTCCTCCAGCTCCTGCTGAGCCTTGCGGAATTTGGCCA